ACACTGTGGGGGCACCTGGGTGGCTCAGTCCACTAAGCATCTGCCTTCAGCTCAGGTCATGATCCCAGGATCCTGGGATTGAGCCCCACGGTTAGCTCCCTGCTCAGCAGGGACTCTGCTTTTCCCCCCTCTCTACTGCTCCCCCTGCTTGGGCTTGCGTGCTGCTATCATATAAATAAATAAAATCTTTAAAAAGAAAAAGAAAATGAGACTGCAGATGGCATTCCCTATTCTGCTTCATAACAGCAGCAGAACAGGTGAGTAATCTGAAAGAGGATGCAAAAGCATTCCTTCCACCACCAATAAAAAGCAATGCTGGATCCCAGAAAATATAGCTTTGTGCCTTGGGCAATCCCTTAATATCCCTAAGCCTCAGGGTTTTTTAAATATTTAAAATGAATCGCTCTGATAGACAACCTCTGTGGCTCCTTTTCATAGGATTCTCCTAGCTCTATAATTAACCTGTGTAACTCACTATGCCACATATAACATAAAAATGGCATGCATCAACAAGTCCTTACTTCACTTCCTGATATCCTTTCCACACACTCTTTCATCACCAAATCAGTGTGGGAGCAAATGAGGCAATATTTCAGACTCAAATGTGTGGCCAGCTTCAATGAGAACTGTGTACCTGGATTTAGTGGGTCAAAAGGAAATATTCGAATACTGTGCCTTTTACCCATGGAAAAGACGTTTCCTTCTGGAGGATAAATTCTCAGATCTGGGTTCAAACCTTAGCAGGGGCCTTAGGAAAATGGTAGAAGTTTGATGCCAGCAAATCAATGAAAAACCATTCATTAGTGGTTGCGAAACAGAGCAAGAAGGAAGCTCCTCTCCTAAGCTTATGGGGTCAGTGAATAATATGCAAGTCTGGTGATCCCATTTTGCTCTCACAAATAAAGAAAAAGGAGTAGGTGAGGAGAGAACAGAACAATGTTTAAGTGCTGGGTCTAGATCTTATGAATAACAAACTATGGTGAAAACTCACTGAATCTGGGGAGTCTGCTCAACTCACTGGACCCAGGGGAACCTGACAGATGTGGCCTGAGCACTGGGCAACTGGTAGCCCACAGGAAAGGAGAGGAAACTGGCTGTTGGCAAAAGGGGATGAGAGCCTCAACAGATGCAAACCTCTCTACCCAGACCAAGCCTGATGCTACACGTTGCCAAGAAGTCTTGCACTACTGTCCTCCTAACCTTTAAGATAAAATGATTTGTCACATAGATGGACCATGGGCTTTTTCTGTTAGAAGAACAATACCCAGCTGGATTCACAACCTATGAGCCAGAGATGGGCCCCAGGGGAATTGCCTGAGTGCAAAATTTTGCGTGTATGTTAAATATGTTGCATTTTTCTGGGGAGGGGGTTCATCATTTTCAGTTTTTAAGAAAAGGTTCCAGTCAACACAGACATAGAATAGGATTTTTAAAAATCCAATATCATTACCCTTTCTGTTCTACCTCTTCTTAATAATTCAATAGGTGCCCAAGAAATTTAAATTTCAATTATTTCCAAAAACAAAATTAAGTAAGGTTGGAGAGTTGGAAGTGAATTTTGAGAATGCATCATACCTGCTAACACTATCACACACTCCCTAAAGCTTGGGAAGATAGAAAAGATGACCTGTTGTTAAGAATGAGTACAAGTGACTTGAGGTAGATTAAATCACATGGTAGCAGATAGAATCGGGTGCGTCACTGTCAGTGATAAAATAGGCACCAGGAGAGCACGAAAGAACATTTTAACCAGGAAAACAGAAACCAGAAGTCCAGTCTCTAATTCTAGCTCTGCCTAACTCAATCTGTGACTTTGAACAAGTCCCGTCCTCTGGGTTTGGGTCCTCATCTGTAAAATGCAGGCTACTGAAGCAGAGTAGTGGTCTGCAAACTCTGTTAAGACAATGAACATTATGTTTAGATAAAATCATCCAGAATTCATTAGAAGCTAAAACAAATTCAAAATGGCAGGTTAAACATACTCATTTATTTATCCTCTCTAGAAACCCCATCGTTATCATTCATAATGACATCACTGTTCATAAATCTCTGCTGTGTGCTGAGCATTTACAACATGATTATTTTAAGCGCATTAACTAATGGAATCCCTAACACTCTTATTAGGTAGGTGATGATGTCCATTTTACAGATGAAGGAACTGAGTCCCCAGCTAGTTTAAGGAACTTGCCCAAGTTTCCAAAACTAGTAAATGGCAGAGTCAGGATTCAAACCCAGGCAGTCTGGCTTGAATCTGTGCTATATCATCTCTCAAACTGACAACCAAGGAACAGCAAAACTCCTAAGGAAAAAAAAAGCTGAAAGAGAGAGAGAGCAGATAAAAAATATCAGCAAACTTTGGAAGATGAATAAACTGGCTCAACTGAACACCGAGTGCTGCACATGGCAAGCCACTGCAGAGTCTCTGCTAAATCTCAACTGCTGGAGATTCAGGTTTCCTCTGAAGATGTGAGCATAAGGGAGGCTGAAATCAAGCAGTACTGGCCCCCTCCCCTAGGTAGGCAACTTTTCCATCACCACTCCAGCAGAAGACTGGAGGTTTATCATCTGGACAGGATGAATTAGAGACCCCAGACTTGGGCAGAAAGGGAAACAACCACTAAAGACAAAGAAGTGGCACCACTTTGGGGAATTAAGTGAAAATCTGCACGTGGAAGCAAGAGCCCTCAGGCTCCTCCCATCAGGAGGTTCCTAGGATAACAGCCAAGCTCATTCTACTCACGCAGAAGCCTGAATGAAGGTCCATGGACTCTGCACATATTGCATTGAAAAGGGCAGGTCCATCACCCTACAGCTTTGGCTCTCAGAATGCCTGCCAGGCCAGGAGCACCCCTGGAAAATTTGTCAGAAATGTAAATTCTCGGGCCCATGCCAGACGCACTGAATAAAAAAATTCTGGGGTGAGGTCCACCATTACCTGGTGTGCGAACTGGCCACAGGTAATTTTAATAGCTGCTTAAGACTGAGAAGCACTGCCCTGCAAGGAGGCCCACTAGTCAATAAATCCATCCCACAACAAAAAACTTCCAACTGATTTTTCAGTATGTATTTGGAAGACAGTCCAGAAACATCATAAGTTTCAGGAAAGACTCCATCCTGAGAAAGAGAAAGACCAAAACAGATATCACAGAGCAGCTCTAGTGCAGGGGAGTGAAATGAAGGAAAGCCTGGTTTGTTGGGCTTCTCCCCAGCCCTCACCATCACACGGCCATGAGCTACTCCTCAGGCTGTACCTTGAAAGAGCTAGAAAACCAATGAAACAAACACTCTAGGTCCTCTCCAGCTCTGCCCTGTGCCTTTGTACTAGTCCTTATGTCCCAGATGCTTGAAACTAACAGCAATTTAGACTGACATTATCGATTGGAACTACCTCTGATAACTTTCTTGTCCCTATGAATGAAAAAAAAAGCACTGTTATGATGAAGAGTTGTTATATTCTGTATTGCATTAAATGCAGAGACAAAACACATTGCTTCAATTTATATAGCGATATCTGTACCTGTCCCACTCCATTATACCCTCTTGTTTCTGCGTCTCATGAGCTTTACCCGGCTCACCCTTACAGCCTAAATCTTAACCTACAAATTCTCCCCTATTACTGCTTTTCACCAGTCTCTACTCACCCCAAGTCTTATTGCCACAAGCAGATCATTCTTCTTACAAACCTCTAGCAGCCTCGACATCTTCTACCATGTAATCAACATGGACGAAAATCTCTCATTTACATTTACCTCCTCTGCGTCCTTTATTTAGTTCATCTATCTCAAATCCCTTGGTCCCCCGCTAAAGATCCTTTTTTCCATCCTTTTTCCTCTCAGGCCACTTCATTCCTCTCTTGGAAAACCCAACCTCCTTCGGAGGATGAAAAACCTAAGCCAGGCACCATGCAAAGAATACCACAAATTTCCTCACTGAATTCTCACACTAATACCGGGAGTTAGAAATCATCCCTGTTTTTACCTTTGGAGGACTGATGCTTAGAGAGATTAAGTAACTTGCCCAAGGTTACAACTAAGATTTTATTCCAAATCCTTCTATCTTCACACTCTTAACCATTCTACTTTCCTGTATCCAGAGGTCTGACTCAAGTCCGGGGGCGGGGGGTTTCCTTAATTCTGTAGAAAATAAGCAGGGCAAAAAGATCTCTGCATGTGCACATATATTATATGTGGTCCTCCACAGATGCTGAGAGCCTTCCAGCCAAAGCCCAATAGGCAACACACAGTTCACAGCAGCACCTTTCCACCTGGAGGGCCCCTGAGGGCTCAGGAGTTGGGCCAAGGAGCAGCACAGCATGTCTCTCCGGCAGGAATGGATGCAAAGCAGGGGAGCAAGGCTGGCTCCTGAGCCCAGGATGCCAGTAGGGAACAGGTGGTTAAGGGATGCCTCTCCCCACGCAGAAGACCTTTGCGGAGGTAGTGAGGGCGGTGCACCTTCCACTGCGGGGCAGAGTGGATGCCCACCTGCAGAGACGTCCAGGTCTGATTTTAAAAGCTCTTAAGAGACAAGGTGGTAACCTAACAAGCAAGGGCAAGCAATGACTCCTAAGGAGAAGCCTGCGCCTTACAACGGCACAGCTAACTTGGAGGGGCACAAAGAAATGTCTACGATGACAAGAGAAGGTGCTTCACGGGTGCCCATCAGAATGTAGAGGCGGCCACCGTCCCCTCCTCTCCAGAGGGGCTGTAAGTCCATTTTCTACCGTCTGTGTGATAGGAAAGGCAGGCGGGCACCTCGATGTCTCCCACCCCGAGGGCCTGAGCCGCGCACCTCCCAGCCTGTCCTTCTAAGGGCGGAGAGGCTGTCCCTGCCCGTCGCCCCACTCAGCCCCAATCCCCCGCTCCCACTTGGCACCTGTCTCTCCCCTACTTGGTCTCCCTCCCACCTCCTCGCCCCATCGCTCTGCCCGCTAGACCTCTCTCCCCCCCACCCCCGCCCCTCTTTCCTTATCCCTCAGCCCCACGCTGCCCAGCGCTCCGTACCTTGAGCGTCACGTCGCACAGCTTGCCTTGCCGCCGGATCTCCTCCATGACGCCGTAGCCCCGACTAGGCAACTCGGACACGGAGAAGTGCACCAGGTCCTCCAGCTCCTCCGCGCCGTCCTCCACCATCTTCCCCGGCCGCCGCGACTGCGCAGGCGTGGCCGGCCGGCTCGATACTAAACGGGGCGGGGCGAGGCCGCGCGGAGCGCGCCAGGAACGCCCGGCTGGACGCAGGGGGCCCTGCGCGGCCGCCGTAGTCTCCTACCGCTCTGCGCCGGAAGCGCCGCTGCCCCGCTTCCTGGTGCGAGCGCAGCCTTCGTTCCCTCGCTTTCCCGACGGTGCTTTCGCGCCTGCAGCTGCCTCAGTCTTTCTGGATTAGCCGGTCCCATCTCCCGTCTTCCCGATCCGGACCTGACCGTACTCGTATCCCGACTCAGGGCCGCGGACTTCATTTCCGCCACTACCCAGATACTTCCGGCATCGGCGGAAACGTCCGGTTGCCATGGCGCCTCTGTACACAGTTCTGCAGCCGCGAGTGCGGGGTAGCGGTCGCTGCACAGGTAGCGGTCCAGCAACTGGCGGGCCACTGCCTCCACACCGGGGATCAGGGGCCACGCGCCGCCCGGGTGGGGAGAAGCGAGGCTGGAGAGGGAGTTTACGCCGAGGCGGCGGGCAGCGGCTGCCATCCGAACACCGCTCCATCAAGTCCCCCTGCTTGGCTCACTGACCCGGGAAACTGGAGCGGAGGAGAGGGCGCGGCATCGTGGGCGCGCTTGCGGGCTGCTTGGGGCGTAGGGTCTTCGAATCTAACGTTCTTCGGCCCCACGAGGGCTCTGCGTCGGTGCGGAGGTTGAGAGGGCGCGAAGTGGGGGACCAGAGGTCTTCTGGACCCTTCCGTACTCGTCAGTTTTCGAACTGGAGGGGGCTTCGGGATCGCCAGGTCGAGCCACTCGCTTTGCAGATGAAGAAACCGCACCAGAGAAGGACAAGAATGGCCCCAAGGCCCATTGCCTCCCGCGCCCCACGCAAGGGTCCGGTATGTTGGGTGAGGAAAGGGGAGAAGGCCAGTTCTGCCTGGAATCCAGGCCGGCTGCGTTTGACTCTGGGGTTCAGACGCTGCCGCCGCTCTGATAGCTGTGAGGATTCCCTATGAGAGCACCTGGTCTGGGCCGGAGCGCTGCAAGGTAGGGAGGGACTTGTCCCAGCAGATGCTCCTTCTCCTTTTATCCAGCCCAGATGTAGCAATTCTGTTCATTCTCACCCTTTAAACAATAAGGAAACCACGAGCCTCTCAGAGAAATCTCCTGGTGGCCACTCAGACGTTCACTTAACTTACAGCAGAACTGTATGAGGGCGGCGGCCATGAGAGAAGAGCATTCCCCCCAAGGTCCTGGCAGGGAAAAACCGTGCTAAAAAGAGAGGGCATGGTGAGGGACTGAATATGGCTTTTTTGCAAGTGGTGCCTGGAAACTTAGTGTCCTCTTGGAAGGGCTGTGGACTCAGGGACTGGAGGTGATGTGACAGGGAGTGACATATGCCCCTTGGGACTTTCTCAGTAGTGACCGAAGATGGACCCACATGTGGAGATTCAGCCACCCTCTGACTTCCAGCCATGACCATCACTACCAACCACCATTTCCAGAGTTCCTGCTCTGTGCTGGGCACTGTTCTTGACATTGAGCGGGGATTCAAAAGAGATAAAGCACAGTTGTATCCCTCAAGCAACTTGTAATTTAATTTGGGAGCGGAAACCCACTCAAATGATGCGGCGTAAGAATGATAACAAGCGTTATTTCAGTAAGTGCAAGATGGCATGGGGTCTCTAAATGTCTGGGTGTTTAGTGCCTGCTGAATCGCAGCCTTACAAGAGGAGTTAATAGTGAAGGCTTGTGGGGGGTGCCTGGCTTGCTCAGTTGGTAGAGTGTGTGACTTTTGATATTAGGGTTGTGAGCTCAAGCCCCATGTTGGGTGTAGAGATTACTTAAAAAAATAAAATCTTGGGGATCCCTGGGTGGCTCAGCAGTTTGGCGCCTGCCTTTGGCCCAGGGTGTGATCCTGGAGTCCCAGGGTCGAGTCCCTCGTCAGACTCCCTGCATGGAACCTGCTTCTTTCTCCCTCTGCCTGTGTCTCTGCCTCTCTCTCTCTCTCTCTCTCTCTCTCTCTCTCTCTCTCTCTCTGTCTATCATGAATAAATACATAAAATCTTTTTTAAAAAATCTTTAAAAAAGTAGAGAAGGCTTGCCTTAGTGGGTATAGCTCCTGGCATACTTGGAGCCATGAATGTGAGCATGGGGTGGGCCTTGGGAAGATAGGGGTCTGCATGTGCGTGCTGGCAAATTGCAGGCCCCGCCCTTGAGGGGAGGCCAATGCTTGAGCTTTTCTGTACCGTTCCTGTGCTGAGTGGATGGGGGCTTCCAGGAGTGAGGCCTGGGCACCTGCCATCTGGGCTGATTCCTTTTGGAGGGCATCTAGGGTGGGAGGTTGGGCCTTCAGACTGGTGTGAGCAATGGTTCCTAGAACTTTAGAGATTGATGGTAAGTTTGCTTGAGTCAAAACACACCTTCCTCCACTCACAACTTCCCAATAGCCTAGATCAAAGTGAATTTGGAATTAAGATTTTCTCTTCAATTTCCTCAATTTGGGATCCATGTTAGAGCTATCTGTGGCTTTGTATTCCTTAAGTTCAATTTTGCAGACAAAAATTTTAGAACTGAAATTGGATAAGCCATCATCCTTGATCACCTGAATACCTTTCAGACTCATTTTCCTAAAAATCAAAAAGTCTGAATGGTCCCATAATGGCTGTGAAAAGACTTCGTGAAATAATTACTTAAGGAATGTAGCAAGTGGACACAGCTCTACAGTAGACAAATATGAAAGTGACATGTTTGCTTATTTGATTTGACATCTGAAGGGCTTGTAATGGTTAGGGTTTCACTTGTCAATGTCATTGAAACTGTAAATAAAGGGCAGGGACTGTCTATTTAATTTGTTTCTATAGAGATACTTAATACGATTGATGACAATTAATATGATTATAATAGGAAATCTAATGGTCATTGCAAGTTGTGTTTAGAAACGTAGAGGAACATTAATATTTTTGAAATCTGCAATCATTTTTATGAGGTAACATTCATGTAATGTTGTTAGATAATAACACGTAAAATGTTAATATTCTTTGTTTAATGTGCTTTTTTAAAAAGTAAAATAATTAACTGTAATTCGGAGAAGAAATCCCTGTCATGCATGACTTTTTCTTTACAGTAAATGTCTTAACAATTAGTTTTTTAAAAATATTTTGCATCATAGCAGCTTATTTGTTAAAGTTCTTTGCAGTAGCTCAAGCAAGCTATTTTTTCCTTAATAACTATGTTGTTGCTTGTTTTCCAATTTGAATAGGAAATTGAATCAGTGCCCTACATCTCATGTTTCCTTAACTACTCATAAATTCAACAAATTCCTTTGTTGGTGGTTTTTTGTGTTTTGTTTATTTTGTTTTTCAATAATATCCAGGAGAGTTCTTTGGTTTCAACTCCTCTCTCCTTCCCTATGAAGGTACAGGTTATTTTAGTGGCAAATGCCTGGTTTCTTCTGAAGTGGTTTAACCATGAGAAGGGAGGTCAGAAGAGAAGTGTACCGTGAAGCACACTCCAAACCCTTGGGCCTTGTCTCTATTCCAAGTGCGTTTTGTACATTTAGAGCTTGAACTCTAAATGAGTTTTTACATTCTTTCTTTATATGTATAGCTCCATAAAAGTGAAATCATTGAATGTGAGAGCCTAGTGTTAGGACTACATGATCATAGACTACTTAATATTGTTCATGTTATTTGAAAAAAAAAAAAGAAAGTGAGCAGCCCAGGTGGCTCAGTGGTTTAGCGCCGCCTTCAGCCCAGGGCATGATCCCGGAGTCCCACGTCAGGCCCCCTGCATGGAGCCTGCTTCCCTGTCTACCTTGTGTCTCTTCCTCTCTCTCTCTCTCTCTCTCTCTGTGTGTGTGTGTGTCTCTTATGAATAAATAAATAAAATCTTAAAAAAAGAAGAAAGAAGGAAAGAAAAAATATTAGATTGATATTAGGGGAACTTATTTTTAAAAATATTTTATTTAAATTCAGTTTGCCAACATATAGGATATTAGGGAAACTTATATGTAAAATTAGAAATGTTTCCTCTCTGAACAATTTAAAATTGTATTTTGTTAAATACAAATACATTTTGTATTTCCCCAATAATTTCAAACAATGAGGTTAAATATATTTTCATAGACTTTATCTTGTTTTCTAGTATACTTAAATAGGTTTAATACAATTGATGATTATTACAGATTGATTTTTTTTCCTTAGCTTTCCTTAGAGCTCTTGACATTCTCTCTCAATACTTTTTATTCTCAGTGTATAAAAGGCACCTGAAGAGCTTAGTTTTAAGTTCCCCTCAAAGCAATAAATATAGCATAGTCATTCCTTCTGTTTAATAACCCTCTTTGCTTCTCCACTCTATGTCAATGCTGGAACCAAAATTTTCTGTCTAATTAGTATTAAATATTTTTACACAGGCTCTCTTAAGAGAGGGCCTCTTGTGATTTCACCAATGAGACTAATATCCAATAAAATATGAGATTTATTATCATTTGGTTATGCAATTCAATTTTTTAAAAAAATGTTAAATGATTTTTTTTAAAGATTTATTTATGATAGACATAGAGAGAGAGAGAAAGAGGCAGAGACACAGGAGGAGGGAGAAGCAGGCTCCACGCCGGGAGCCCCACACGGGACTCGATCCCGGGACCCCAGGATCGCGCCCTGGACCAAAGGCAGGCGCCAAACCGCTGAGCCACCCAGAGATCCCCTGTTAAATGATTTTTTAAAAAAATATTTTATTTATTTACTCATGAGAGACACACACAGAGAGAGGCAGAGACACAGACAGAAAGGGAGGAGCAGGCTCCATACAGGGAGCCCAATGTGGGACTCGATCCGGGGTCCCTAGGACTATGCCCTGGACCAAATGTGGTGCTAACCCCTGAACCACCCGGGCTGCCCTGATTTTATTTATTTGAGAGAGTGAGCGAGCACGCAAGCAGAGGGAGAGGGAAAGAATTTTAAGCAGACTCTGGGCTGAGTGTGGAGGCAGTCATGGGGCTCCTCATGACCCTGAAATCATGACCTGAGCCAAAACCAAGAGTCAGACCTTTAACCGACTGAGCTGCCCAGGCACCTCCAATTTTTAAAATTTTTGAGGAAAATATAACGAATGAGGCAAAGCATGAATGGACTCAGTTACAGAACATTTTTAGGGAATAATACATCCAAGATTAGAGCACTAAAGGGAGCATTCTTTTTGTCTTGTATATCTGTCTCTTAGGGAGCCATTGGTGGGAATTGATGAGACAGCCTGTAAAGTAGGAAGTGCCTATACATGTTGAGAGCAGTGTTCTGTGGATAGAGCACTGACATGCTAAGGGGTAAAAAGGAAGACTGGCTGTCAGTGGGATAGGAAAACACAGACTGTATCTCACTCTGTTCTGATCTTAATGTATGATACCTCCCCTTGTCACTTGATGATGACCACTGAAAGTTGCACTGTTCTCTTCTTTTTAGCTAGAATGGGTACTAGGAAAAAAGTTCACGCATTCGTCCGTGTCAAACCCACCGACGACTTTGCTCATGAGATGATCAAATACGGAGATGACAACAAAGTAAGTGGAGCATGCTTGTCTTCACTGGCCTGCCCCTCTCTGTCCCACCTTGCTACGGCTTGACCCTGTCTCTAAACATCCTTTAGGAACCAAGACGGGGAGATCCCTGGGTGGCTCAGCGGTTTAGCGCCTGCCTTTGGCCCAGGGCACGATCCTGGAGTCCTGGGATTGAGTCCCCGTCGGGCTTCCGGCATGGAGCCTGCTTCTCTCTCTCTCTATGTCTATCATAAATCAATCAATCTATCTATCTATCTTAAAAAAAAAAAAAAAAAAGAACCAAGACGGGGATCCCTGGGTGGCTCAGCGGTTTAGCACCTGCCTTAGGCCCAGGGCATGATTCTGGAGACCCAGGATCGAGTCCCACATTGGGCTCCCTGCATGGAGTCTGCTTCTCCCTCTGCCTGTGTCTTTGCCTCTCTCTCTCTCTCTCTCTCTCTCTCTGTGCCTCTCATGAATAAATAAGTAAAATCTAAAAAAAAAAAAAAAAAAGAACCGAGACAGAATTGATAAAAGGTGAGCTGGACTCCAGAGTCCAAGTCCAAACCACTCCCTCTGAATTGCTTCTGATGAAGAAACTCCTGAAGTTCCCATTTTTATTTGTATTTTTGATTAATAGATTTACCTTCATCCTCGTATCTGATACATAAAAACTGACATTTGTCCACACAAAACTTTCTGGTGATCAGATCTGCTTTTATATAACCACCACTCCCCTGGGGTGGGGCAGGGTGGGGCATCCAGTAAGAATGTCCTAAGTTGATAACTGGTAAAGTTACCAAACCAGTGGGAGAAACTCTTATCTGGAAAACTGGGAAGATTGATCCATCCCCTTGCCTTTATCACTAGCCTGACAAACTTTTTGAAGCCCATGACAGGCTTGGGACAGGTTGAGAAAGCCCTATGTTTTCATTCAGTAAACAGCTGTGAATCTCCTCCGGGCAACATGGAGACATTCTTTAAGGGAAGAATTCAAGAGCAAACTACCCAGGCTTTGCAAGTCCTGGCAGTCAGAAAAAAACTCACGTATAGCCCTGTGAAGTGTATCTTGCTGGACACATTTTCAATGAACACAGAAGCACAGAGCATTTAATGTGTGGATGGACCAAGCCTCTTTTTCTTGATCTTACTTTTTCTGCATATGGCTGTGTCTTGGCTCCTGAATTAGGGCATCTAGTATAAAGTTCCAACAAGACTCTCTTTACATCAGAAGTCCCCATTGTGAAGACTGAAACCTACCACTGACCTAACATAATGTGTTCCTAAACCAGCTACTGCCATAGTGGCTTGCTCTGGAGGGTTCTAAAAAAAATTATTTTTTAAGATTTATTTATTTATTTGTGATAGAGAGAGAGAGAGAGAGGCAGAGACACAGGAGGAGTGAGAAGCAGGCTCCATGCCGGAAGCACGGCGTGGGACTCGATCCCGGGACTCCAGGATCGTGCCCTGGGCCAAAGGCAGGTGCCAAACCGCTGAGCCACCCAGGGATCCCTAAAATTTTTTTTTAATCTGTTCATCTAAATTACAAATGGGTAGGCACCCTTAATTTGCTGTAGTACCAGTGAGGAACTAAGTCTGAGAAGCCAAGAAGAGCCTCTTCTGTGGCTATTAATTCATCATCATTCACAGTGGGCTATAGTATGTAAAAGATGTGGCTCAACCCCAAACCTGTGTCCCCACTGTTCTCTCTGGCCTAATTCAAGACCTCACTGTGCTTAATGAATGTGTCTAAAGCTTGTTTAATAGAAACATGGTGAATGTTCTTGACACCCCCTCCCTCCATTTCATACATGGGGGAACAGAGACAAATAGTACTCTCTAACCTAAGGTGACAAGTCCTGAAACTAGGAGGTGCTTCGGTCTCCTGATCCTTCCGCCTTGAGGGTTGTGTGGCTTCCCTGCAGGATCTTCCCTCTCCCATCTCAAAGAAATCGTTAGACTATTGGCCCATTTGTGGAAGTACCTGTTCTTCCTAAAGTTCACTTCCTCTCTCATTTCCAAGTCAGGCCTCAGCTGGCAGTGAGTTTTTCATACTGGTTTCCTAAAAACTAGCTCACTCTCTCTTTTCCTCTCTTTTTAGAGCATTGATATTCATATAAAAAAAGATCTTCAGAAAGGAGTTGTCAATAACAAGCAGACAGACTGGTCGTTCAAACTGGATGGAGTTCTCCACAATGCCTCCCAGGACTTGGTGTATGAGACAGTGGCAAAGGACGTGGTTGCTCAGGCCCTCGATGGATACAATGGTAATGTAGTTAATTGACAGTTGTTTTACGTAAGAACCCGCAGAACCCTTACTGGAGGAAGAGATGCAAGTGTTTTATGGTGACTAGAATAAAAGATAACCTCACATGCTAACTTCTGATTGCTTATTTGTCTATCTCCATATTCTTATGGTGGAAAACTGATTATTTGCTTGGTGATATTGTGGCCATGACTTGATCCAAAGTTCTGGGATCCTGCCTTCTTAGGAAGATAGGAAGGCTGTGGTTCTCCATAAGTCATGGGGATTGAACTATTATCCTGTTCCAAATCTCTCAAATATTAGCTTTAAAAAAAAATTAGCTTTGAGGATAATGTCCTTATGAATTTGATTGAATTCAAATAGTTTTCTCTTGGCTACCTGGTAGGAGCTACTTCATTCATTCTACTGGCGAAATCAGTCACTCTTCCTATTCCAGTATGGGGTTATTTACATATAGCACAGAAAAATGGAGTAGAGTTGGATTGCCTTAACAAATTACAAGCAGCTTTATTGGGAAATTTTTACAAACTAATTCAGTCTAAGATTGCTTGAAAATTTGAAGGTCTGTAGAAAGGATATATCACAATTTGTAAACTTTGCCAATGTGACTAGAATGCTCCCTATCTGCAAGTTTTAAGTCTTCTGTTAAAAAGTCTGTGTAGGGAGGCACCTGGGTGGCTCAGTCAGGTTGGCAGAAGGCAGTCCCAGGATCGAGCCCCGCATCAGGTTTCCTACTCAATGGGGAGCCTGCTTCTCCCTCTCCCTCTGCTGCTCCCCCTACTTGCGCTCTTTCTCAAATGAATGAAATCTTTAAAAAAAAAAAAAAAAGTCTGTTTAGGGTTGATGCCCACACATTGTAATGTATCCCGCTTGAGATACATAGCTGTGGTCTTCATTGACCCTGAAGGCATATGTCCCCGAGGAGGTAGAAACAGAGCAACTGAGAAGGCCTAGAAGGTTGAGAGTCTTGGACCCTGGGTGCTGTGGAATCATAAATGGGCTTTGAGTCCCAAATGCAGTGACTTCTTCCTACACATTTGTGTTAGTGGACACTTTCTTTTTGAAAAAAAGATTTTATTTATTTATTTGAGAGAGAGCATGCTTGCGAACAAGGGCTGGGGGAGGGGCAGCAGAAAAGGGAGAAGCAGACTCCCTGCTGAGCAGAGAGCCCAACACAGGGCTAAATCTAAGATCCATGATCTGAGCTGAAGGCAGGCACTTAACCAACTGAGCCACCCAGGCACCCCAGTAGACACTGTTTCTGACCTCAGCTTACATGCTGAGTTAGAGCCCCTTGTGTAAAACCTACCAACCAACCCCAGGAACTAGAGGATTGGTGTGGTGAAGGCAAATGCTGATTTCCACGGTCCAGCATTGCCCCGAAGCAGCGTTTGGGATGGGTCTGGCTCAGGATGGCCAAACCAGGAGGAAGGGCAGAGGGGAATGGGAGCCCAGGATGATAGCATAGTTCATGTCCCAGAGCCTAGTGGTGATGGTAGAGCAGACCCCATAGATGTTAGAGGTGCAAGAGGAAGTCTTCCTGAAGAGGGTGGTGGGACCAGATCAGGACCTATCATGATGATGTTTCAAAAGTGGCATGGGACCAACTAGCAGCCCTGTTTAATCCTGTGGGAGCTTGCATTCTACAGAGGATTCTCCCCATTAACAGGAAATTTCCTTCCCATACCCATTTCTTCCCCAGGGATTTCCCCCCTCCCCAGGGATTTTGAAAGCTCTTCTGGCCTCCTGCCTGGCCAGCTCCAGTGAGGCTTCCACCTGAGACTCTGGCAGTTCATGGCTTTACTAAAGAAGAGCTACAGTTCAGTGTTCCTATCTCCCACCTCACCTGATTAGGAAAATTGCCAGTTCTGCTCCCTGGGATTCCCTGCTCTGCTCGGAAGCTCTAAGGTCAGATCTTCTCTTGGCACAGGGAGCAATAGAGCATTACATGGGGCACAGATTCAGAGCAGCAGTCTCTGTTTTGATCACTTATGTCTGTTTCCCTGCCCACCCACCTCCAGTGGCAGGAATTCCTCAGTTCCATGGCTGCTCCTGATGGCCACCTTCACACCAGGGGTCAGGCTGGCACCAGACGTACTGGGGAATAAGAGAGCTATCCTTGGAGCTATTTTCCTGGACATCACCAAGACGTGCTTCCAAATATTTGCAGGTACCATCATGTGTTACGGGCAGACAGGAGCTGGCAAGACATACACCATGACAGGGACAACCGAGAATTACAAGCACCGGGGGATCCTTCCTCGTGCCCTACAGCAGGTAGAGCGGGCCCACAGGTGGGGTGCCACAGAAGGTCCCCTCTCTACCACAGCTGCTGCCGACCTCAGGCCTGCTACTGAAGACAGGATAAGCATTGCAGGGGTGAGGGTGCAGGGGCCTCAGGAAACCGAGGTTTCAAAGTCTGACCCAAGCTCATGTGGAGCCAGTTTCTTCATTTGTGAAGGAGGGATTTGGACACGCCAACTGACCTCTTGCTGCTGCGCTGATCTGTGATCCTATAGTTTGGATCACAGAGAATTTGGAGGTCCTAATCGTGTTCCTTCCTTGTTTTAATGAGGGGGATATAGACTTCTGCAGAATTTCCCTACTGGCCTGCTCTGGCTTCTTCTACCACCTCAGCCCCAGAAATAGCAAAAGGAAGAAGCAGGGCACAACGTGAGCTTTCAGGGCTGTCATCCCAAGGGGTCTGGGAACTCTGAAGACAGGACAGAGGGGCCTTCCTTTGGAGTTCTGGGAGGACCCTCTTTTAGGATGTAGGAGGCAAAGGGCTTTTCCCCAAAAGCATCTTGAGATTTTAGAGCTGTGTCTTATAAGAAATGGAGATGACCCTCTAGTGAATAAACCACTCATGCTCTAATTTGTGAAGCAATATCCTTTGTGCCCCACTGTCAGAGCTTCAGGATCTCAGCATCTTAGACTTCAGTAGTCAAGCCCAGTGCTGCCCAGTAGAAATATAATGGAAGTCAGACTTGCAATTTTGAGTTTTTTCATGACCACAGTTTAAAAAGAAAAATAGGTGAAGTTGATTTTAAGAATGTATTTTATGTAACTCCATATATGTAAAATATAATTTCCACATGTGGTCGATATGAAAAATCTTGAGGTATTTTACATTATTTTTCTCATACTAAGTCTTTGCAGTGTATATTTTACACTTATGGCCCATTTCAAGTTAGACACTAAATACATACCAGGCATACTGGATTTGTATTTAGATTTCATAAAATTGGGCAGCCCCGGTGGCACAACGGTTTGGCGCTGCCTGCAGCCTGGGGGTGTGATCCTGGAGACCCGGGATCAAGTCCCACATCGGGCTCCCTGCGTGGAACCTGCTTCTCCCTCTCCCTGTGTCTCTGCCTCTCTCTCTGTGTCTATGAATAAATAAATAAAATCTTTAAAAAAAAAAAGATTTCATAAAATTTACCATTGAAAAAGTATAAACCCAAGTTGTTCCAAACATACTGAAAAGTTTACCAGTAACTGAATTTTGCAGCCACTTTGAAATTTAAATTCAAATTAATTACAATTAAATAAAATTTAAAATTCAGTTCCTCAATTGCATCAGCCACATTTCAAGTGCTCTGCAGCCACCTGTGGCTAGTGTCTACCATGTTGGACAGCACATACCTGGACTGTTAGAGCCAGGTGGGAGCCTCAGGGGATCATCCAGCCCAACCGTCCCCTGCATTTGACAGTTAAGAAAGTTAAGGTCCAGAGAAGGGGAAAGACCAGTCCAAAGTCACCTGGCCATAAGTACCAGGGAGGGTATTAACAGTTGGGAAGGCTGAGTTTGGTCTTGGCTTCTCTTACTAGCTGAGTGACCACAGACAAACAATTTCATTTCATGGAGCTTTCTAACAGATGGGCATAGCCCCCTGCCCTGCTTCAATCACAGAGGAGTTTTGAGAATGGAATTAAATAATAGTTGTGAAAGAGGCTTATATATAGTGAGACCCCATAAAATAAGGGATCTGCACTCCAGAGTCCTTTCCATTCATCATGTCATGGGACTGTGCAACCTGTTAAGTCAGGCCTTAAACAACTACATGACCGTAAGTATCACTCAATGGACTTAATACTAGTAATTGTTGATGATGATGACCATCATGCTAGCTAGACTACAAATTCTTTTATGACAAAGATTTTTTTTTTAAGATTTTATTTATTCATGAGAAACAGAGAGAGGCAGACAGAGACACAGGCAGAGGGAGAAGCAGGCTCCATGCAGGAAGCCTGATGCGGAACTCGATCCCAGGACTGCGGGATCATGCACTGAGCCAAAGGCAGACGCTCAACCACTGAGCCACCCAGGTGTCCCGATTTTTTTCTTTTTTAAGATTTTATTTATTTATTAGAGAGAGAGAGAGAGAGAGAGAGAAAACGTGAGCAGGGTCCGGGAGAGCCAGGGGGAGAGGGAGAAGCAGATGCCCCACTGAGCAAGGAGCCTGATGTGGAGCTCATCCCAGGGCCCCGAGATCATGACTTGAACCAAAGTCAGACAGTTAACTGACTGAGCCACCCAGGTGGTGTCCCAGGGCAAAGATTTTTTTCATTGTACATCTTGTTCTCTGCTGAAGTCAGAACTCTCCTAACACTGGCTGGTCATTGGAGTTTTGCTCTTGGTGACTGCCATCCAATATCCCATCTAGGTTTTTAGGATGATCGAAGAACGCCCCACACATGCCATCACTGTGCGTGTTTCCTACCTGGAAATCTACAATGAAAGTCTATTTGATCTCCTGTCTACTCTGCCCTGTGTTGGACCATCAGTCACACCAATGACCATTGTGGAAAACCCTCAAGGGGTCTTCATTAAGGGCTTATCAGTCCACCTTACAAGTCAGGAGGAAGATGCCTTCAGCCTCCTTTTTGAGGTGAGATGAGCAAGTCTAAGGGCTCCTTCCTTCTTTCTCTCCTACGCTCCCTCCTTCCTTCTCTTTTTTCTTTTCCTCCCTTCCTCTTTCTTAGTTTTTTACTTACTTTGATAATCAGAATGAATATTAATATTTGCTCATTTAGCAAGTTCAGATAGTAAAGAAAAAAATACAGAAACAAAAAAAGAATTCACTTGCCTGTTTCCTACAAACAGCAACAATAATGTATATCTTGGCTTATTTCCTTCCTGTCTTACCACCCCCATCTACACAATTTTTTAACATAGTTGAAATTGTCCTTTTTTTCAGTTAACATGAAATTGTAAACATGTGTAGTATAGGAAAAAATAAGGATTAACATCCTTAGTGTATAAGAGCTCTTAGAAATCCAAAAATTCCCCAGCATATGGTATTCTTTTAAAAGTCATATAGGTTGGAACTCTTACACATTGTTGCTGAAATGTACAATGGTGCAGCCATTTTGGCAGTTTCCTAACAAGTTAAATACTAATTTTATCATAGGACCTAGCAATTCTATCCCTATTTACCCAAGAGAAACAAAAGCATAGGTTGACACAAAGACTTCTAGGCAAATATTATAGCAGCATTATTCATAATAGCCAGACTGGAAATAATCAAAATATCAATCACCTAGTGAAAAAAAAATCACCTAGTGAATGGATAAACAAAATGTACATCCATACGATGGAAAACTATTCAGCAATAAAAAGAAATGGAGTATTGATATATGCTACAATATGGATGAATCTTTAAAAGGTTAAGTAAAAGACACAAAAGATCCATACGTATGATTCCATTCATTTGAAATGCCCCAGTAGGCACATCTTTAGAGAAAGCAGGTTAGTGGTTGCCCAGGGGAAGGAATGGGAAATGGTTGTAGTTGGGCCCAGGGAACTTCTTGGAGTGATGTTTCCACATTTCTAAAATAGGATTGTGGTGATGGGGACACCTGGCTGGCTCAGCAGTTGAGCGGCTGACTTTGGCTTAGGGTGTGATCCCGCAGTCCCAGGATCAAGTCCCGCATCGGGCTCCCTGCGTGGAGCCTGCTTCTCCCTCTGCCTGTGTCTCTGCTTCTCTCTCTGTGTGTCTCTCATGAATGAATGAATACAGTCTTAAAAAAAAAAAAAGGATTGTGGTGATGGTTGCACAAATCTATACATCTACTAAAAACAATCACTGAATTATACTTTTTTTTTTACTGAATTGTATACTTAAAGCAGAGAATTTTATGCTATTTAAATTATATATCAATAAAACTTTTTTATTTTTATTTTAATTTTAAAGCATTTATTTATTTGTTCATGAGAGACACAGAGAGGCAGGCAGAGAGAGAGGTAGAGGGAGAAGCAGGCTTCATGCAGGGAGCCCGATGTGGGACCTGATCCCAGGACTGCGGGATCACACCCTGAGCCAAAGGCAGATGCTCAACCGCTGAGCCACCCAGGCGTCCCTATAAAACTTTTTTAAAAAAGTCACATGGGGGGCACAGTGGTTGAGCATCTGCCTTTGGCTCAGTGTGTGATCCCAGGGTCCTAGGATTGAGTCCCACATTGTGCTCCCCACAGGGAGCCTGCTTCTCCCTCTGCCTATGTCTCTGCCTCTCTTTCTCTCTCTCTCTTGTATAAATAAATAAGATCTTAAAAAAAGAAAAGTCACATAAATGTCCTCAGGAGTGATTTACACCCAGAGCCCTTGCATCTGTAGGCAGGAGAGTGTCCCAGGAGGCAGCAGTAGGGTATTCTTGTTTTATTGTTGCTCCTAATATTTCACCATGACTAATGATGTTTGCTATAGACTTTTGGTGGCTTCAGGTTAAAGAAGGTCCAAGTTTGGGAAGAATTTTTATCCTGAATTAATATTCATACCCTTAGTAGTAACCACTCTCTTGACTTGTGATCATTTCATTGGTTTTCTTTCTAGCTTTACCACCTTTGTTTCCTCTAACAGCTTTATTTATTTTTTTTGAAATTCGTTATATGAAAGAAATCACATAGGATGAATTATCTTATTTTTCCTTTTATCTACTTTTTATGTGAAATTCATCTGCATTCTTGCTGTATATTTTTAATTGTCATCATCATTGTATTACATTGGGTGAATATACCACGAGTTAGTTATCCTCCCTACTACTGATGGACATTTGGGTTTTCCTAATTTGGGGGATATTTCAAACAATGCCACTGGGAAGATTCTTGTTAATCTTTTGGTGCACACAGACAGCACAAATTTTTCTAGGACTGAAATTTTGGGTGGTTGAGTATGTGTGTCTTAAGTTTTCTCAGGTAATGCCAACTCTTTTCCATAACAGTACATTCCCACAGCAGGTTATCAGAATCCTGAGTATTTTGACCTTAAAATTTTGACCAATCTTCCGGGTCTGGTGTGTGGTAATTCCCACTATGGTCTTCTGTTATCATCTTTGATTACTAATCGAATTAAGGACCTTTTTGTGTGTTTATTGACCATTTGGGTTTCCCTTTTCCTGTCTTTTGTTTTCTTTACAGATGTCCTTTCTTTCTTTCTCTTACCTGTCTGCGTGAATTCTTTATATACTCTGAAAACTAATTATTTTTCAATTATATCTATTGCAAATATCTTATATTTCTTGTGGCTTTTTTTTCTCTCTGTGTTATATGATGAACAAAAATTCTAGATTTTAGGTTAACTGTGTAAATTTTTTGTTTTGGCTTACTTTTTTAAAAAAATAAAATTTATTTATTTGAGAGCAAGAGAGGGAGTGAGAATGAGAGAAAGCACAAGCAGCAGGGAGGAAGAGGGGAAGGAGCAGAGGGGCAAGCAGACTCCTGGCTGAGCAGGAAGCCTGATGCGGAGCTCCATCCCAGGACCCTGGAATCACAACTGAGCCAAAGGCAGATACTTAATGGACTGAGCCACCCAGGTGCCCTTGTTTTGCCTTTTCATGTAAAGAGTATATAAAAGAATTTTCTTTTAAAAATCCATGGATAGAATTCATCATCGAAGTCATCCGATCCTGGACTTTGTTGGAAGATTTTTGATTACTGATTCAATCTCCATACTAATAATTGTTCTGTACATATTTTCTATTTCATCATAACTCAGTCTTGGTGATCTGACAGTATTTATTTTTTACCTGAAACTTTTCCTTCCACTTGGGACGCCACTATTTAGGTGTCCCTAAATATTCAATTTTAAAATAATTATAACACAGGGCCACCTGGGTGGCTCAGTGGTTGAGTGTCTGCCTTTGGCTCAGGGTGTGATCCTGGGGTCCTGGGATCGAGTCCCACATTGAGCTTCCTGCATAGAGCCTGCTTCTCCCTCTGCCTGTGTCTCTGGCCCTCTCTGTGTCTCATGAATAAATAAATAAAATCTTTTTAAGAATAAAATAAAGTCAAATATTTAAAAATAAGACTTCTAGGAATCTAAAGTTCATAAAAACCTTTCACCTCCTCCTGGATTCCATAGGAATCTTAGGATTGTTGCCTTGTCTGTTATGTTTTTGGTTTTTGACTCCACAGAGGCATCATTATTGTTTTATATAGTCTATATTCTTTTATATGTACCCTCATATTTACCACTTTCATTGCTTTTTCTTTCTTTTCTCCATAACCTTCCTCTGGAGAATGTTTTCCTTTTTTTCTGTTATACATTCTTTATAGTGAGCATACTGGTGATAACAAGTTTCTTGTTTATTGAGATATTTTTGCTGGGTGTAAAATTCTATTTTGGCATTTGCTTCTACCATATTAAAGATATTACTGCAAAGTTATGGTTTCCATTGTTAGTAGTGAGAAGTCAACCGTCAGTCTATTATTCAGCAGGCTTTTCAATGTATGTTAGTCTGCATTGTCTAAGAAGCAGATGCCGAGATGGGATTAAATGTGCAAAGATTTTATGAAGGGAAGTTCCTGTGTCAACAAAGCAGGAAGGGATCTGGGGTAGGCTGCATAGCTGTCAAGCCACCATGCAAGTCCTACCTCAGGTAAAGGGAAGAAAGGTCACATAGATGTCTCCTAGACTGCTATGCCACGTAAGACGAGTTAGCAAAGAACTCTTCATGGAGGGGATTGCACTTCTCAGGCCACCAGAGGTTGCCTAGTGGAAGCCAAAAAGACAAGGGGAGAGGGCAGTTCACAAAGAGGGGACCCTTATATCCTTCGCCAATGTCACTGAATTTGTAGGACAAGTGATAGTGAGAAGCTGTAGGAGACATGGCCACAGGGGTGAGCAAGGGGGGCAGCCAGGTCTGCTCCACAGCTTAGGGCTTTCCCTCCTCTTCAGGTGTTCCACTCTCCCCAGGGGGCCCTGTTGTCACCACTTTGGGACTTGTTCAGAGCATTTCTCTGGCGCCTTTAAGGAGACTGGAGTCCCTCCCACAAGGACCTTTTTCTCTTAAGAACAGCCATTTCCACCATTTTAAAGTGTATTTTGGTCATAGCACCCAATCCTGTGAATTAGAGACCTGCTGTCCCTTTAAAACTACAAATAATTGGGCAGCCTGGGTGACTCAGCAGTTTTAGTGCAGCCTTCAGCCCAGGGCCTGATCCTGGAGACCCAGATTGAGTCCCATATTCGGCTCCCTGCATGGAGCCTGCTTCTGCCTCTGCCTGTGTCTCTGCCTCTCTCTCTCTCTCTCTCTCTCTCTCTCTCTCTTTCTGTCTCTCATGAATAAATAAATAAAATTTAAAAAAAAACAACTACAAATTATTCATTTTTCATAAATTTTAAAAGTAATAACATGTTCACTGGAATGTCTAGGTGGCTCAGTCAGTTAAGCATCTGCCTTTGGCTCTGGTCACCATCTCGGGGTCCTGGGATCAAGCCCCATGTTGGACTCCCTGCTCAGTGGGGAGTCTACTTCTCCTTCTCCCTCTACCCCTCCCCCTACTACCATGCATACACATGCATTCTCTCTCAAATAAATAAAATATTTTTTAAAAAGTACTAACATGTTCACTGTAAAAATATGAAAACATACACCTATATAAAAAGAACAAATGGCACCTGGCAGGCTCAGTTGGTGGAGCACAGGGCTCTTGATCTGTGGATTGTGAGTTCAGCCCCACATTGGGTGTGGAAATTACTTAAAAATAAAATGTTTTTTAAAAATGAAAAAAATAAAGAAATGACCTCTAAGCCCCAACCTAGAAGTGACCATTCAGAGCATCTTGTGTATGAATGCTTTCTTATGTGAATGCTTTTGCATTCCTTAGGTGGTCCTATCATATGATTTTACCCACCACATCGATTGATTTGCAAATGGTGCACCGTCTTTGCATCCCAGGGGTTAATCCCACATCACCCTGGTATATGATCCTTTTAATGTGCTGTCGAAGTTAGTTTGCTATGATTTTGGATTCTGTGTTTCTCTATTATTAAAAAATATTTGTCAACATTTTCCTGGTTGTATAACATTCCATTGTATAGACAGACCATCCCCTAATTACTGAATATATAGATTGATTGTGAATTGGTATTCATGAACATTTCTAGAACTCTTCATTCTTACTGCTACTTCGCTTTGCAGAAAGATCTATAAATTCTCATATCCGTAGCGGAGGGTGATGGTCTAGGTCTGGACTCCCAGTTGGTCTGCCATTCTACTAATTTATAAACAATTTTTTAAAAAGATTTTATTTATTTATTCATGAGAAACACACAGAGAGAGAGAGGCAGAGGCACAGGCAGAGGGAGAAGCAGGCTCCATGCAGGGAGCCTGATGCGGGACTTGATCCCGGGTCTCCAGGATCGTGCCCTGGGCCGAAGGCAAGCGTCAAACCGCTGAGCCACCCAGGGATCCCCTCTACTAATTTATAAATGAGATATCTCTGGAAGGTCTGATTGCAGTAACATGAGATCACTTGTGTAGCTTTTGGGTGTAGTTGAAAATGACCCAAACATGGGCGCCTGGGTGGCTCAGTTGGTTAAACGTCTGCCTTTAGTTCAGGTCATGATTCCAGAGTCCTGGGATGGAGCCTCACATTAGGCTCCCTGCTCAGAGGGGAGCAGCTTCTCCCTCTCTTTCTGCCCCTCCCCCTGTTTGTGCTTTTCTCTCTCTGTCTCAAATAAATAAATAAAATCTTTTTTTTAAAAATGAAAATCAACCAAACACCTCATTATTTTAATTTTTCAAAATGTCTATGTTTTCCCTCCTCTTCAGGGAGAGACCAATAGGATTATAGCCTCCCACACGATGAACAAAAACTCATCCAGGTCACACTGCATTTTTACCATCTATGTGGAGGTGAGTGTGAGCTCCTTGAATAGCCTGGGAGGGGCGGCCGAATTCCATGGGGCCTGCTCTGTCAGAAGTTTCTCCCTGTGACATCTGACCTCTCTTTGAATGTTTCATAGGCCCATTCACGGACTTTATCAGATGAAAAGTATATCACTTCCAAAATTAACCTGGTGGATCTAGCAGGCTCGGAAAGGCTAAAGAAGTCCGGGGTAAGTGGGTAGCAGGAGGATTCTCCTTAACAAGTCATAACCCTGTTGCCAGCATAGCGCCTGTGTACATGGGCTGTACCTCGTGGGGCATTTGAGAGCCCAGTCCTCAGCTCAGCACAGTAGAACACACAGGCTTGACTCTGTGGAGCTGGAGGGACGGAATTTGTAGAGATGAACCAGCAGCAACACAGTTGCAATTCTTACCTAATGGGTGTTTTGTAAACATTAAATGAGATGATGGCCCCTAAATTCTTAGCAAGGTACTAGACCCTCAGTGCTCAGGAAATGCATTGTGCTAGTATTAGCCTTTCTCTGTGTATGCAGGTGAGTGTTCACATGAGTCTTTTGGTGAGTATTTCATCTCAGATATTCATATGAGTGTAAATAGTAGCATAGTCACAGGAGTATGCAGTGAGCATTCCTATGTGCATTTTTAAAAAAGATTTTATTTATTTTAGAGAGAGAGGGAGAGGAAGGTGGGGAGGAACAGAGGGAGAGGGACAAGCAGACTCCTTACTGAGCACAGAGCCCAACAAGGGGCTTGATCCCACCCCCCTGAGATCATGACCTGAGCTGAAATCAAGAGTCAGACACTTAAGTGTCTGAGCCACCCAGGCATCCCTCTTATGTACATTTATATAAGTGTTTTTAACTGTATGATAGTCATAGGATGATTTATCAAGTATCTGCACAAATATTCCTATGCATATTCACTCTTAAGTGAGCATTCATACGAATAGTCACATAAGTATTCATGTTCACGTGAACGCTCCCATGAATATTTGCATGGGCATTCCTGGGAGTATTAATATTAGCAGGAGATGGAATACATTTCCATGACACTGAGAAGAGCTGGCTCTAGGAGGTTCTGGCCTGGCCACCCACCTGCAGTGTTTTCGGCGGGGCAGCTTCCCCATGTGATGAGTGGAACTGACCTTTGGTTTGTAGTCTGAGGGCCGAGTCCTGAAGGAAGCCACCTACATCAACAAGTCGCTGTCATTCCTGGAGCAGGCCATCATTGCCCTCGGGGACCAGAAGCGGGACCACATCCCCTTCCGGCAGTGCAAGCTCACCCACGCCCTAAAGGACTCGTTAGGTGAGGGTGTGGTTGGTTCCCCAGGGAGGAGGGACAGGCCTGGCATAGCTGCTGCTGGTGATCACAGAATGGCTCCCTTCCAGTTGCATGCACTTCCCAGCGGCGTTTTCACAGTGACGCCAGACACAGCTGGAGAGGCAGAAGCATGTGTGGTACCCTCTTCCATCACCCACGGCCTGCTGTGCTGGTCCTTCAGAACCTTTGCTTAAACTTTTGCCACTGCTGGGAATACCTTCTTATTTCCCCCATCCCTAAACCTGGCAGAACCCTTCACGGCCCTTAAGACCAGGTGGTGGGCCTCACCCATGCCACCTTCTCTTCTCCTGTAGCCTCCCTGACAGAGGAGCAGGCTGTGTCTTTTCATCCTTGTATCTCCAGGCTTTCATGTTGGGCCTGATGGCACAGTCGTGGGTGTCTGCTTATTAATTGAGTGCTGCCAGTAGCAAAGCCCTGGTCCACAGCCCTCTCCCTGCCACTCCCTGCTCCATGCTCTTGCCCTCGCTTCTCTTTTAGGTATGTCCAGTGGCCTTTCCCCTTCCCTTCCCTCCTCCAGCCTTATACATGCTGGGGTGTGTCTCCTCTGACCCTGTCTGAGTCAGCTCAAGTGGCCAGAACAAAACACCATTGATGGGGGGGCTCGAACAAGAGACATTTATCTCTCATAGCCCTGGAGGCTGGAGACCCCAGATCGGAGTTCAGCATGGATGGTTCCTGGTGAAGACTCTGGCTCATAGATGGCTGCTTTCCTGCGGTGCTTTCACACAGCAGAGAGAAACGAAAGAGAGAGGGACCAGAAAGAGAGTTCTGGTCTCGGTCTCTCTCTCTCTCTCTCTCTCTCTCTCTCTCTCTCTTTTAGGGCCACTAATCCCATTATGGGGGCTTCACCCTCTCAGGACCTCATCTAAACATGATTACCTCCCCCAAGCCTCATCTCCAGATGCCATCACTTAGGAGGGTAGAACTTCAATGTAAGAAGTTTGATAGGACACAAACACTCAATCCATAACAGACCTCCACCAGCCTCGAAGGAATCTCTTGGCAGAAAACCCACATGGTTTATGGCCTTTCTGTGTCCTGCTTTCCACAGGGGGAAATTGCAATATGGTCCTCTTGACGAACATCTATGGAGAAGCCTCCCAATTAGAAGAGACGGTATGTCAAGACAGCCCATGCAACCTAGTTGGAATCCCTTCTCATATGTTCCAGGGCTGGGTAAGGCTGGCTCCAGGCTGGCTAAGCTGGCATACCAGCCATAGACATTGTCAGGAGGAAAAGGATCCAGGGGATGAATCAGCCAAACTTGCTGCTGGAGGCCTGGGCAGAATCCAAATACCAAGTACTAAGGGGCAGAGGCTGTGTTGAGGAAAAGACAAGGCAGGAAGCAGGCACAGTGTGGGGGCCTGTGTGAGGAGTTTCACAGAGGGCAAGGGCCAGGCTTCCTGGGGTGCTGTTCCTGTGAATTGGGACCAAGGACAGCTGATTTCTTGTCCTTCATAATGATACAATTAAAAATCTTAGAAGCACCAGAGTTCCAGGCTGTGGTAATAAGGCCAGTAGGAGCTGACAGGTGCTAAGCATGTGCTGTGTATAGGGTGGTGAGGGGTGGTGGGAAGAGCAGCTCAGTAGAGGTGAGTTATCTGTGGCCCTAGGCTTCAGGGTTCCTTGCCATGGCCCTAAGGAACGTGAGCGGCCCAGATGAAGGAGTCCTTCAGAGGAAGAGGGACTCTTCCTCAAACTGGGGTGAGGAGGGTGGGCCCTGAACCATCTGGGGTTAAAGGCGGTACAGAAAGCAAAGATGCTCCTGGCAGAGGGGACTGTGGGCCTGAAGGTGTGAGCCATGCCAGGAATCTCTGGCCACCACAGGGGAGGCCATGGGAAAAAAGGGGAGAGAAAAACTGTGGAGGCTGCGTGGGTCCCGGTGGCCAGGCTGACGCCTTGGCTCTGGTTGGCTCTGGCTGGTTGCTGGGGTGTCCTAGGGTTTGGATAGGGGAGGGTTATGGCCAGAGTTATGACTCAGGGCGATTAACCAAGCTGCAGGACCCAGGTGACCTGGGAGGGTACAAGCTTATGAGAATCAGAGGCAGTCAGATTGGCGCTAATGGCGAAGGCAGTGACACACATGAGCTCACACAGCTGGGCACCCTGGCAGTGGTTCTCTTCTTCCTCTGAAGGGCCACACATCATATATAAAGCAGATTTGGAAAGCTCTCCATAGATATTTTGTTTTGTCAAGTGCAGATGTTCAGGGCAAGCTGCAGTCATCAGGAGAATCTACTTAGGTGAAATAGGTCCTTTCCAGGCACGCTGCAAGGCAAGATGTTCCTGCAGGGCCTCCCAGTTTCTTGCATTAGGGACCATCCCTGTGTCCAGAGAGTGTGTCCTGGGACTTGGAAGGCCAAGGAGGGAGCTCCTGCTGACGCACAGGCAACATCCCCAGAGGGAGGCTCCAGGAACCTCCCAGTCTCATAGCATAACAAAGCACATGTGAACCCCAAGAGGAACCATATGAAAATTGGGCCTCCGACTGCCTTGTTGAAAAATGTCCTCCAAGACAGTGGAAGGCCCCCCCCCTCCTTGTCCCCACCTCTGAGGTCGTCACCGCACAGGAAGCAGGTCTCCTGGTACTTGCCTTCCTGGGGGATTTGTGACCCAGGAAGGAGCCCACAGAGCCCAGAGTTGCAACGGGGGTTTGAGACAAAGGCATAATGGAGTGTGGAAACTAATGCTTCTCTTTTTCAAATGCTTTAAACCGTTAACACTGTTCCTGTCAAAGGATCATATTGCTTTACTCCTTGACAGTGCATGTATATGTGGGAGTAAACACAGTGAGGGAGTCCTGGCCACACTTCTGGTGAGTGTGGAGCAAGACAGCTTGATTCCAGTCCCATACAGAAGCAGCTGTCTCCTCCTGAGGGCTTGCTGTGAGCCACTTCTGTATAGAACATGTCACAGACTGGGGCGCCCGGGTGGCTCAGTCGGCTGATCGTCTGCCTTCTGCTCATATCATGATCCCAGGGACCTGGGATTGAGCCCTATATTGTGCTCCCTGCTCAGCGGGGTACCTACCTCCACCTCTCCTGCAGCCCCTGCTTGTGCTCTCTTTCTCTCTCTGTCAAATAAATACAATCTTTAAGGAAAAAAAAAAAAAAAACATGTCACAGACCTCTTCATTAGCCTCCCAGGCTCTGGGAGGCAAGTTTCCCCAATCTTACAGAGGAGTTAGAAGAAGTTGGTCAACAGCAGAATTCTTAACCACTAAACCAGACTGCTTGAAGGAAGAGTCCTTTCAGGGCCCCAAGCCAGCCCAGTATGATGTGAGGCTGGGATCTCAGGGCCCCCTTGTGCTACCACTGGCTGCTCCCCGCTGCCAGGGAACAGCCCTCCACCTCTCATGTAACAACAGTGCGGAGGGGCACATCATTGGGGCTGTTTGTCAAGTGCCTACTCATGTGACTGCCTCATGGGCTTCTAGCCATAATTACCCCTGCCTGGCTGCCCCTCCAGAGGGACTTGGGGGGAACCTCCAAGAAGGAGACCCCATACTTCACTTTGGAATATGTCTACATGCAGAGATTTATCTTTCCCAGTAGACTCCTTTGACCTGCTTTGCAAATGTCTCTATTTGCAGCAATTGGCCAAAGACATAGAGGTCTGTGATCTGTTTTTCAGCTGTCTTCACTGCGGTTCGCCAGCAGGATGAAGCTGGTCACCACTGAGCCTGCCATCAATGAGAAGTACGATGCTGAGGTACTTAGGGGCTTGTGGGCAAGAGTCTCACTGTAGAGAAAGTGTGTGGATTTGCTGCCGAGGACACAAGACTGGCTTCCCTTGCCACCTCAACTAAAGATACGCATGCAATCCTGGGTCAGTCCTTTTAGCCCTGGACAGGCCAGAGTCTTCAGGGTCCCTGAAGACCCCCTAGGGGGCCACCCAGGTGAGAGGGCTGGGTCAGGTTACCACCCAGTTCATGTGTGAGGCTTCAGGGCTTCTGACTACCCAGGGCTTCTCTATGAGAGTTCCTTAGAGCTAACTGTTCCAGATGCAAGTAAGGACCACCTCTCATATTCATCTGGTTTTATCACTACAAAACCTCTTTCCTCCCAGCCTGTATGATCCCTCTAAGCAAGCACAGCTGCTGAATCAGAAGGCATGCTTAGCATCACCATCAACCAGGGAAATGCAGTTGAACCCTTAGTGAAATTCCACCCTCAGACTGGCAAAAATTAGAATTGTTCCGACAATGGAGAATGACGGTGAGAATGTGCAGAGATGGGAGCACTTGTCTGTTTCTGGCCAGAGTGCCATCGATACAATTGGTTTGGAGAGCATTTTGGCAACATCTTACAAAATCAAAACTCATTTACCAATAATTTGGCTTTCCTTTAGGATGCTTGTGGAATCACGGTTACCAGAGATAGGAGCATATGTGTGTCTTAAGCTCACGATAAAGCAGTTAAACCTTCCAGATTCTAAATCCTGGAGGAAAATTAATGGTCCCTCTGGCTCCATGGAGCTAACCCATGGCTTGGAGCCTGAGGAGGGGAGTAAGTTAGAGCCGTGGCTCTCAAACATGAGCAGGTATCAGAACCACAAGTGGGCTTCTCGAAAAGGTCACTGGACCCATTTGCAGAGTTCCTGATTCCATTGGTTGAGTGGTGAAGCTTAAGGATTGACATTTCTAATAAGTTTCCCAATGCTACTGCTGCTGCTGTGCTGGGGCCATACTGAGAACCACTGGCACAGTAGTTACGGGCTATGGTCCCCACATTAGGCTGTCCTGGAAACCTGCTGTTTCCTTCCATCTGCTGTCTAGCCTCAGCCAGATGCTTATTCTTTCTAAGCCTGTTTCTTTGCCTATAAATTGGGGAAGTAGCAGAAGCTACTCTGAAAGAGATGTCATGAAGAATAAGATAATGGAGAGAAACCCCTTAACACGGTGCTGTCATGGAGTAAATGCTCAGTAAATGTTAGCTAGTCCTCTACTCACTTGTATAGGTCAGCAGTGTCCCTTTCTGGGTGGACAGCTTGGAGGCATTCTTCATATTTGTATGTGAACACCCCTGAGGCAGAACAGGGCTCACACTGCTTAGTATGTAGTGAGAAGTTGGAACCGTGATGAATAGCCTTTAACAGGAGAGTAGCTGAGTGAGTTACGGAGGGCAGGAGCCAGGGCTCGAGCTGCGGGCATGGATGATCTCCAGTGGGATTGTAGCCGGCCAAATGATAGCCTCTGTCATTTACACTGAGTCTAAAACAGTGCAAAGCAAAGCTGAATATCATTAATGGATATATGGGAGTACAGTTTAAAAAAAAAAAAGACCAAAGCTGGGGGTTCCCTCTGGGATGTCAGGGGAATGGACTTGGAGTGAAGTAAAGTGGGGCTTCATGTTTATCTACTGTGTTTTATTTCTTAAAACAGAAAACAAAAAACCCTGAAGCCAATACAGCAGCATGCTTTTTTTTTTTTAATTTTTATTTATGATAGGCACACAGTGAGAGAGAGAGAGGCAGAGACACAGGCAGAGGGAGAAGCAGGCTCCATGCACTGGGAGCCCGACCTGGGATTCGATCCCGGGTCTCCAGGATCGCGCCCTGGGCCAAAGGCAGGCGCTAAACCGCTGCGCCACCCAGGGATCCCCAGCAGCATGCTTTTAAAGTTGGATTTGGGGGTGGTCTTCCCAGGTTTCATGGCATTATTTGCTATGCTTTTCTGTAGCTTGGAGCTTTTATTTATTTTTGTTAATTTTCTTATTCGGGGCAGCTCCGGTGGCACAGCAGTTTAGCACCGCCTGCAGCCCAGGGCGTGATCCTGGGGACCCTGGATCGAGTCCCACCTCAGGCTCTCTGTATGGAGACTGCTTCTCCCTCTGCCTCTCTCTCTGCATCTCTATGAATAAATAAATAAAATCTTTAAAAAAATAATTTTCTTATTCAGTGTTCTCTGAGCTCGGGACCACCATATTGCCACATGCGAACCAGGCTGGGTAGGAATTGTGCCAAACAGCAAGGATTTCCATGCTCTTCCATGTAATTTTTGTTCTGAAATCTGCATTGTCAGTCCTGGCCAAACAAGTCTCCATGTCATCCGATGTGACTGTGTTTATCTTTATGATAAGCATTTATGAATGTGTGTTCTTGAGAGAGACCTGAGAAATTACTTTGGTTGCCCCCTTCCCTAGACTATAGCCAGGCCGCCTCTGTTATTTCTAGTGTCATCTTCAGCCTAGATGCCTGTGTTCAAGGCAGTGGGGTAGCTTCCATGGAATTTCCTTGGCAGTGGGGCTGACTGTAAGATGGGGAGACTGGGTTCCCATCCGCCTCTGCCACCAGCTGTCTGTAGTGAGTTGTTCAGACTCTGAGCCTCAGACTCTTGAAGTTTTTACCTTTGAACTAGGAAGTTGGACTGATGAACTCCAGTGCCCCTCCTGCTCTGTGGTCTGCAATTCTGTGAGGGGGTGTGAAAGTTGCAAGCCTAGTGCCCAAACAGGCAGCAGAGAGAGACACTTGATATTCTTCTCTGCTGAGAGAAGATATCACCTACAGGCCACAGGGTGGGGTGTCAACTAGAGAAGCTTCCTGGATAGAGAGCAGCTTCTAGCCTGGTGGGCTTCTTAAACAGAACTTTCTGAATTATCCTCATTTTGTTTATGCTGAAAAACCTCTGACCATCAGGGAACTTAGACCTGAGTCTGTGCTGTTTCCAAGGCATTGGTTCCATCCAGAAAATGTCTCTGATCTTTACTTTATTTTATGTTTTAGATTTACTTATTCATGAGAGACAGAGAAGCAGAGACATAGGCAGAGGGAAAAGCAGGCTTCCCACAGGGAGTGTGATGTGGGTCTCAATCCTGGGATCATGGGATCATGACCAGAGCCAAAGGCAGGCACTCAATCACTGAGCCACCAGGTGCCCCTATCCCTGAAAAAGACTCCACAAGGCAGGATTGTTCTGTGTGTGTGGCAGGATGGGGCGGGGAGAGGGGGGAGGTCTGCTGCTCCAGCCCTTTGTTTCTGAGCAGCTTCTCTCCAGTCAGTACAGGGGAGCAAGTTGGAGGCCACTAAGTGTGCCAGGCATTAGGAGAAGCAGCTCCTACTGCTATGGAGGCTGGTTACCCTGGGAACTGATGGCATGTTTCCCCACATCACTTGACTGGCACAGAAATCTCAGCCTGGCTCCCCGCACCAACACTGGACAGTCATCTAGCCAGAGGTCCTCAACAGTGCAACCAGACTTTTTTTATCTGGGGCATGATGTATTTTTCAAAGTGGAAATACTTCAGCTGAGAGGAGGGGCCAGCCACCAAGCCTCTCCCTTAGACTTCATAGGAGGCCTATCTGAAAGAGACCATAGGGGCTTCCAGAGTGGTAGAACCAGGATTTGGACCCTGGTCATCTGAGTCTCAGGTCTAGTTCCTGAATTGCCACAGAGCCACCGGCTTGCCAGGGTTCTCTGTCAATCTTTGCTGCAGACTGGTCACGGCTTTGGTCACCAGTTCCAGGATCCAATTGTCAGGGGCTCCCTCCAGTGGCCATTTTTGGACACCTGAAGGAAGCCCTGTTCACAGAGGTTCTCTACATAAAATCCCTTGTGCCTCTCATCTCAAAGACTCTAGGGCAGTATCTCTCAACTGTAAAATGACTCAGCAATTCTGTTTCTAGAAATATATCATTTATCCATTCACCTAATGTCTACAGAGCACTTATCATGTGCTGGACACTTATCAGTGCACTTATCAGTGTTTTTTGAAGCACTTGGAGTGTTAGTATACAAATAAACATTTCTGTCCTCAAAGAGCTGACGGTCTGCTGGGGGGAGAGAGAGAGACAGAGAGAGAGAGAATGAATATGAGAAATAAGTGAGTCTAGGGCACCTGGCTGGCTTAGTCGGGAAAGCATGTGACTCTTGATCTTCGGGTTGTGAGTTTAAGGCCCACTTTGGGTAGAGGTTATTTAAAAAAAATAAACTTTAAAAAAAAAAGTGAGTCTAGATCTTGCTATTTGCAACAACATGAATGAACCTGGGGGACATTACGCCAAGTGAAATGAACCAGATAGAGAAAGAAAAATACCACATGATCTCACTTATACATGGAAACTAAAAGATCATAGAAGCAGGGAGTAGAGCCATGGTTACCAGGCGAGAGGACAGGGACTGAGGAAAGGGAGATGTTGATCAAAGGGTACAAATTCTCATTTATAGGATAGATACATTCTGGGGATCTAATGTACAACATGGTGACTATAGTTAATAACATGGCTAAGAGAGTAGATCTCAGCGACTCTTACCATACATAAAAAAAAAAAAAAACGGTTACTAGTTGAGGCGATAGCTATATTAATTAACTTGACTGAATCATTTCACTATATATATATACATATTATCGTGTTGTACACTTTAAATATCCAGGCATACCTCCAGAGATATTGTGGATTCAGTTCCAGACCACTAGAATATAGTGACTATCACAATAATGTGAGTCAAATTAATTTTGTGGTTTCCCAGTGCCTATAAAAGTTTTATTTACTCTATACTGTGGTCTATGAAGTGTGCAGTAGCATTGTATCTAAAAAAAACATGTATATACCTTAATTGAAAAAATATCAGTGGAGCACTTGGGTGGCTCAGTTGGTTGACCATCCAACAATTCTTGATCTCAGCTCCAGGCTTGGTCTCAGGGTCATGAGATCAAGCCCCACGTTGTGCTCCACACTGGGGAGCCAAAAAATAACAATAATGAATAAAAAGCTTAAATAATACTTTAGCGCTAAAAAAAATGCTGTCACCTGAGCTTTCAGCAAGTCGTAATCACTGATCACAGATTACATAACAAATATAATAACGAAAAAGTTTGAAATATTGCAAGAATGACCCAGATATGATGCAGAGACATGAGGTGAGCAAATGCTGTTGGAAGAATGGTACCAACAGACTTGCCTGACACAGGGTTGCCATAAAACTTTAACTTGTAAAAAAAAAAAAAAGCAGTATCTGGGAAGTTCAGTAAAGCAAGGTGCAATGAAATGAGGTATGCCTGCATAACTTCACTTGAAAGATTTTTTTAAAACATTTAAGAAAAATGGGACACCTGGGTGGCACAGCAGTTGAGCGTCTACCTCCGGCTCGGGTCTTGGTCCCGGAGTTCCAGGATCGAGTCCCGCATCGGTCTCCTGCATGGAGCCTGCTTCTCCTCTCTCTGCCTGTGTCTCTGCCTCTCTCTGTACCTCTCATGAATAAATACATAAAATATTTTTAATTAAAGAAAAAGATAAAGAAATGGGTTAAGTTCTAGAGCTCCACTGTCTAGTACAGTAGCTGCTACTTGCTTGGGGCTATTTAAATTAGTTAAATGAAATTAAAAGTTCACTTCCTTGGTCACACCAGTGACATTCCAAGCGTTCAGTAGCTACTTATAACTCATGGCACAGATACAGAACATTTCCATCATTGCAGGAAGTTCTATGAAATAGCACTGCTCTAGGGGATGTTGGTGATAGGTGCCATGAAAAAATTAGAGCAAGATTTGAGAAAAGAGTGGTGTGGGGGTGGGGAGGGGATTGCAGTTTTACCTGGGGTGACTGAAATGTGCCTGATTTAGAAGCTTCTGAACAAAGACTTGAAGGAGGTACAGGAGATAAGCCAAGGCAATACCTGGGGGAAGAGTATCCCAGGCAGAGGGGACAGGCTGTGCAGAGGTGGGCGTGTGCCAATTTGATAGGACTAGAATGAGCTGAGGGGGAAGAGTAGGAACAGATCACAAAGAGCTGTGTTATCCTACATAAACCTAGAAAGACAACGAAGTATAAGGACAAAAGTGCTGTGCAGTGTTGTTTGTAGCATCAAAAAAATTGGAGGTGATGTACATGATTATCAGCGGGGAACAGTAATGTGTTTGTGCAGCAGTTGGGAAGGAGGAGGGTAAAAGGTACACCTGTGCACGGAAAACATCCTGGAGGCAGAGGGGACCATCACCCTGGTAGACTGGAAATATCCTGAAGCTCCTGGGAATTGGTGGTGTGTGCCCTCTGGGTGCCTGTGCTTACTTTGTTCTATTTCCTCTGCTGTAAGAGGCAGAGGCCAGGGGACCATTGAGGCCCCCAGTGACCCTAAATTCACCCCAGTTGGAGCAAAGTCACTAGTGGGGAGGGAACTGTGTCCAGATGCTGGCATCACACCACCTGGATTTCCCCTGGGGGATGGGGGCTGGATGTCCAACCATAGTTTGGGGAATTGTAGGCTTGATGTGGAAGAGGCAGGGTGGCCTCTCTGCCTTACCCCAGACTCTGTGTCCTGACAGCGAATGGTCAAGAACCTGGAGAAGGAGCTGGCATTGCTCAAGCAGGAGCTGGCTATCCATGACAGCTTGGTAAGAGGCTAGAAGCAGGAGTCTGGGTGAGGGGCTGGCCAGACTGCTAGAGGGACTGGGGTAAAGGTACCAGGTGGGCAGAGGGACTGGGTGGACAGGGGCCAGATGAGTAGGAGGGCCAAGTAGGCAGGGAGAGTTGGGGGTCAGAGGGGCTGGGGAGCAGGGATACTGGGTGGGCAGGAATACTGGAAGAGTAGGAGGATGTGAACAGGGGTGTGCAATATCAGGGAGGGGAGGCAGGCAGTTGATAGGAGAATGAGGGGCAAGGGGCCAGGTGCCAGGTAGTTAGGGCAGGGGCAGATGGCATGAGGATGGTCAAGGTCAGGGGAGGTGGGGCAGATTGGATAGTGAAGAAGGGGAAGCAGCAGAGGGCCATGAGGGCAGAAGGTGGGAACAGGAGGCCTCTGGTGGCTTGCCTGGGTCTGCTCATGGTCTGGCAGGTGGGGTGAGGTCTCAAGGCAGAGGCAACCACCTCTCTCCCGTGGCCCTAATGCTACCGGGTCTGCTGAGACTCAGCCGGCAGAGCCCCCTTGCTCAGAATGGCAAGCCCATGTCAGGTGGCTCTTAAGACCCAGTTGTCCCTCTTTGACTCGAGCACCTGGCCAAGCCCCAGTGGTGAAGAGAATGGAGCTGGCTTAGGTGGCCAGGGCCTGTGTCCAACCTTCCCACCTTGGCTCTCAGAATGACCCCTGCTGCCCCTGTTGGACTCAGGTGTTTGGAGCTTATTGACCTGTTACTCATCCTCCTCCAAGGCCAACCGCACCCTTGTGAACTACGATCCCATGGATGAAATCCAGATTGCTGAGATCAACTCCCAGGTGCGGAGGTACCTGGAGGGGACACTGGACGAGATTGACGTAAGGAGCCTCTCCTGGGGACCAATATCCCCTCCCTATCCTGGGCATACTCTCACTTGTGCTGTGCCGGTCTTGGAACCTCACAATGAGTGGGTGCAGTGGGTGTGGGGTGGGTGGTGCTGGGCCCCTGGCCTCAAGCCCTGCAGCCCATTGAGGCCTCAACATCCATGTTTAGGGTTATAAGGATGAGTGTGCCCCCAGAGAGTGGCCAGCAGTCTTGAACAGCCTTGGCCACATAGGGAGTGGTCCATCACTGCAGGTGTAAGTGCAGGCCCTGGAGCCAGGCTGCCCTAGATCATATCCTAGCCCACTTGTCTCCTTGCTGAGCTACTTCAGCGAAATGCTCAACCTCATGTACTTTGGTGGCCACACCTGTATAGTGAGGAGGGAAACCAAACTGGATTTTTTAAAAAAGATTTTATTTGTTCATGAGAGACACAAAGAGGCAGAGGGAGAAGCAGGCTCCCTGCAAGGTGCCTGATGCAGAACTCAATCCCAGGGCCCTGGGATCATGATTTGAGCCAAAGGCAGATGCTCAACCACTGAGCCACCCAGGTTCAACCAGACTAGAATTAACTGAGCTGTGGCAACTCAGGGACTCAGTGGTGCCAGGGAGAGTAAGGCCATTCAAGGATGATAGTCTTGCTGGTTTACAAGGCAGATACCCATGACCTGTGTTGGAGTAGGCCAAGGAGGAAGACAGCAGCCGTACAGGGAAGGGTGAGGATGCATTCTGTTTTTACAGTGTAGGCCAGCAAACCCCTCATCCGGATTGCAGAACCCCATCTGGGCCTGTCACTATGGCAGCTATAACTGGCAGGCCTGCAACAGCTGAGGGGTGGGCTCTTCTGGTCTTGTAGTAGGGTTAGTCCCAGACTGATCCCCCATCAAGGGTAATGCTTGTGTCTATAGGGCCAGGAGGGAAGCCAATGGCCACAGATGTGAAAGTTCATAACGGAACTTTGTAGAAATAGGAGAGCTGAACACAGTAAATTTTATTAAAATTTTTTCTTAGTGTTTTCAAGAACTAGAGTCATTTTAATTTTTTTTAATTTTTATTTATTTATGATAGGCACACAGTGAGAGAGAGAGAGGCAGAGACACAGGCAGAGGGAGAAGCAGGCTCCATGCACCGGGAGCCTGACGTGGGATTCGATCCCGGGTCTCCAGGATCGCGCCCTGGGCCAAAGGCAGGCGCTAAACTGCTGCGCCACCCAGGGATCCCGAGTCATTTTAATTTTATAGAGATTTTCCCTTAGAAAAATTAATTTTTAAAGATTTATTTGAGAGAGAGAGTGTGTGAACATGCAGGCATGGTGGAGGGAGGGGCAGAGGAAGAAGGAGAGAGAATCCTCAAGCAGACTCCCCCACTGAGCACGGAGCCTGATTCAAGGCTCAATCTCATGACCGAGATCAGATCTGACCCAAAACCAAGAGTCAGCAGCTTAACTGACCATCCAGGCACCCTAGGAAAGGCCATTTTTAGAGCCTTCAGTAAATACTTGGTCTGAAAACTGAATCAGTTGTTTCTCTGTTCTTGAGGAGGTTTCAGATGTTCCATTCTTAAGACAGATGATCAAAGGGTTAGCCATGGAGTCTGGTTTCTCTACTCACATAGACACACCGTCAGTCCTGTGCTGCCTGAATCCCCACCTCTGCCTTATTCTCTTCTCTCCAGATCATCAACCTCAGACAGATTCAGGAGGTGTTCAACCAGTTCCGGGTGGTTCTGAGGTGAGGGACCCTCCCTGCCCAATCTAACTCCTACAACAGGCTGCCATTTTCATTTCTCACGGTCAGGGTGTGACCTCTCAGCGCACACCTTGTCTCTCGTGGATGAGAAGCCAGATCAGAGTCCTTGGGGTCTTCCCAGGCCCCTGAGCTCTCAGATCCTCCAGCCCTTCCCCTCCCCTGGGGGAACTGGATAGCCCTCCATTCAAGGACAACTCGGGAAGTGGTCCATGGTAGATGTTTCCTGAGTTCATTGATTAGACAAGAGGTCCTTGTGGAGTGCCAGCCCTGAGCATGGCCAGAGCAGTGCATCCTGACTACTCCCTACTCCCCACCCCAACCTCAGGAGGCATTTGTAGTTTAGCTGGGTACAGACATACCTGTAGACTGAGTGGCTCATGCTGTGACCCACAAAAGTGGGTCACATGATAGAACCTAGGTGGGAAAGCATGGTCCTAAGGCTTATTTTTTTTTTTTTTTTTTTTTGGTCCTAAGGCTTATAATGAGGCTTATAATCCTCATTAAAGTTATCTTAGAGCAGAAGTGCCTGGCACCTGAGGGAGGCCACTGCAGATTTTATGGTTTGACAGTGGGTGTGTACACTGAGGAATTGGGTGTGCAATGGGCTTGTTTTGTCTGGTTTGGTTCATAATGAGGGTGTGGCTCCATCACACGGGGCCACACCCAAATGACTTCTAACTCCCATACTTGGTTCTTGCTCTGGAGGGTTCAGTGTAGCATCAGGTGTGAGGTGTTCTCTCATTCTCTCTCTCAAGCCAACAGGAACAGGAAGTGGAATTGACTTTGCGCAGGAAGTACACCCTTATAGACAAGAATGACTTTGCAGCCATTTCTGCAGTCCAGAAGGTATGTATGGTTGCTTCTTGTTGACAGCATTCATGTCAGATTTTTCCATCCCCAGACCTTTCCAGAAGCAGCAGGTGTTCCACATTAAAGCAGATCCAGGATTGCAACAGATAAAGGTAACATCAGGATGAGTGTGACCCATGCAAGAGTAAACCGTATATAAATTCAAAATGATCTCCAAAATTGGAGGCATGACCATAAACATGACCATAAACAAGACCAATTCCTGGAGTTAGGTTGGAAACAGGTCTTAAGATCCTCAGGGTATGGCATGAGACAAGACATCAGACCATTGATGGAGTTGATGTGCAAAGTGGGCATTTGGTAGGGTGGTCAGAGATAATGCTGCTGGGGACAGCCTGAAGCCAGCAGCCTGGGCCTGCCATCCTGGTGTATGGGGTGAACATGCCCACCTGAGTACATGTATACTTGGGTCCCCCACAGGCTAAAACCCTTAATCTAACCCTTGACCCTGTGGCTGGCCTCTATCCAGGCAGGGCTTATGGATGTTGACGGCCACCTAGTGGGTGAGCCTGATGGACAAGGCTTTGGACTTGGGGTCACCCCTTTCTCTGCCAAACCTGGGAAGAAAGCCAAGTCCAAGAAGATGTTCAAAGAACAGCTAAGGTGAGTGACCTTCCTGTTGCTTTACCTGCTCAGTCCTGGCCCTCCTCAGCTGGTGAAAGAGAGGACACAACCTAGCATCTTAGCTACTGGGTGGTTCCAATTGATCATATTGCTGTCAATACTGGCAACGTTTGTGGGGTCCAGGCTGTGCTGATTGCCTCTTAACCACACAGCAACCCCATGAGATACGAGGTCTCTATTTTACTGACATAGAAACCAAGGTTCAGAGAGGGGAAGTTATTTCCAAGGTCACACCACTGACGAGTGGTAGAGTAGAAGAGAGAAACCAGGCGAGCACTCCCCCTCTGGTACTTCATGTGTAAACCACCCCTAACCAGAGTCCTTCTGTGACCCAGCTGCCTGGTACTCATGTCACCTAAAACCCCCAGTTCACCATTCAGGCAAGAATCATTTGTGTGTGCCAAGTGAGAGGAGTGTCAAGGCTCGCTTAATACGACACCCTTCCTGGGAGGTGCTGGTAGCGGTGGACTAGAACACAGGCTCTAAGATGCTCCTTTCATCAAAGGGGTCACCTTGTATGAGGCATGACAGCCTCTCTGTGCTTCTATTTCCACCTCCCTAAATTGGGAATCATAATAGTAGCATCAAAGTTGGGGGGGTATTGGGAAAATAAACGGGTGAATGCCATTCCTCTACCTAGAAAGTATGCAATAGGAATGTGGTGTTGCTGTTATTATCGTTTGTTAAAGGACACAGGCCAAAACTATCCCATGAGGGACAGGAGTCAGGTAGCAGGGGTTGCCAAGGCCCCTGGCCTCCTCCTGATGGTTCAGGCCTGGTCCAATCTGCCTCTCTGAGAAGGAGGAACCTGGGCGCCGTCACATGGAGAGAGAGGACAGCTACTTTCCTGGGAGCTGGTGTGGGCACTCGTGGAGCTGGTCAAGGCAGCAGGGCAGACATGTCTTGCTGGGTGGGGACTCTGCCACTCGTTCCCGGGGATGCCTGTGTGATGAAGGCCCCCCTCAGCCTGGATGCTCCCGGGGCCTGTGGCCCACCCCACAGGTCTACCCGCTTTCAGACCTGGAGACTGCCGGGTTTTCCCAGGTGTCTCCTGACAGGGACTGCAGAAGGAGAGCTCCTTATTCTGATGCAGGGGAGAAGAATGCTCTTCTCTTCCTTCCCAATCTGCATGGCTTACGGTCATACTCTTTGGCCTTTGGCCTAGGTGTGTGAGCCAGGTCGGACTGAGTGGTGTAGGGCTTCTGATGTACCACGGTTTGGAAATGTCACTATCCTAAGTACCAGAGACACCTCACTGCCCATAACTGAGCCCTGGGGCCTCCCTGCCTTCTCCTCCCAGCACCTCAGCAAGAAAGGAAGGTGCCAGCAGCCCTGTGGGTGGCAAGGATTTGGATTTCTCCACCTCTAAGACCCAGCTGACCCCATCCTCCAAGGAAGGGGATGTCAAAGACATGCTTATGCGGGACCGGGAGACCTCCAGCATTGAGCCGCTTCCCTTAGACTCCCCAAAGGAGGAACTACGCCCACCCAGGTAACCAGCTAATGCTAGTTCACCAGATCATTCAAAACCAGAGTGGGGGATCCCTGGGTGGCGCAGCAGTTTGGCGCCTGCCTTTGGCCCAGGGCGCGATCCTGGAGACCCGGGATCGAATCCCACGTCGGGCTCCCGGTGCATGGAGCCTGCTTCTCCCTCTGCCTGTGTCTCTGCCTCTCTCTCTCTCTCTGTATCATAAATAAATAAAAATTAAAAAAAAAAAAAACCAGAGTGGGATCCTCAACATGTCAAGAGTGCCTACAGAGAAATGAGAAATAAAGTAGGGATAGGGACAGCTCAGGTGGCTCAGCGGTTTAGCGCCTCCTTCAGCTCAGGGTGTGATCCTGGAGACCTAAGATCAAGTCCCACATCAGGCTCCCTGCATGGAGCCTGCTTCTCCCTCTGCCTGTCTCTGCCTCTCTCTCTCTCTCTTTCTGTGTCTCTCATGGGTAAATAAATAAAGTCTTTTAAAAAAATAAATAAAGTAGGGGATAATAGGCAAAGATGAGGAACACAATCCAAAAAGAAGCAACAGGATGGCTTATACACATGTAAAATAGTCCCAACTCAGGAGTCCTCCAAGATATGCAGCTATACATGGAATTGTTTTTAGACCCTTCAAATAGCGATTATTTAAATAATTACATTTACATTTTTAACTAATGGATTCAAAAGGCCCTAAATTCTCAAAGTATGATACCCCTTCCTCTAGCTACTCCCTTCCTCTCCCTGATGAGCCAGTAACTGAGTGTTCAGTAATGTATCCCGAGGAAATGTTAGAGATGTGGACAGAGATTTATGCAAACAGATGTTCATTCCATCATTAATTTAAAAAGCCAAGAATGATTTTTTGGAAACACCTTCAGTAGCTAACATTATGGAAAAGGCACTAAGTGAATTATCATCTCTGCCCTTGGGATGTACAAGGATGTACATGAAGGATTTTTTTCTCCAGCAAGTGAACATTTCCAAGCACTCAAGAGAAGTTGAAAGTACTGTACAGAAAACACCTTCCTTTTTTTTTTTTTTAAGAATTTTATTTATTTATTCTTGAGAGACACACACAGAGGCAGAGACACAGGCAGAGGGAGAAGCAGGCTCCATGCAGGGAGCCCGACATGGGACTCGATCCTGGGTCTCCAGGATCACACCCCGGGCTTCAGGCAGCACTAAACCGCTGAGCCACTGGGGCTGCCTAGCAAACACCTTCCTGATTCTACATTTAGCACATTACTATGCTTACTTCATCACACATCCATCTTTCTCTCCATCCCTCTTTTTTAGTTTTTTTTTTTTTTTGATGCATTTCTTTTTTCTTTTCTTTTTTTTTTTTAAGATTCATTTATTTTAGAGAGAGCGTGCTCATGAGTGAGTGGGAGGTGGGAGATGGAGAGAAAGAATCCTGAAGCAGACTCCCCACTGAGCAGAGGGCTTGATCCCATGACCCTGAGATCATGACCTGGGCCAAAACCAAGAGCCAGCTGCTCAACAATCTGAGCCACCCAGGCACCCTTTGATGCATTTCAAAGGAAGTTGCAGACAGGCCACGTTCGTTCCCCTGCCCTACACTTCATCTTACATCTCCTTAACCAGAGTTCTGAGCTCCTTATAGCATGAAGGAATGCCTCTGTGAAAAACTAAGATGTAAAATTATACCTACTGCATGACCTCAAACATTAAAAAATTTATCAAAGAAATACCTGAAGGAGATTCGCCAAAGCATGGTTGCCAATAGGTAGCAAGTTGGGTTTTTTGCTTTTTTTTCTGTTTTTTTTTTTTACACTTTTCCTTGCTGTCCTCTCTTTCTGCAATGGTCACATGCCCTCTGCATGCCGAGAGAGAGAGAGAGAGAGAGAGAGAGAGAGAGAGACAGGAGAGAGAGAGAGATTGAGAAAGAAATAGAGGGATCCCTGGGTGGCGCAGCGGTTTAGCGCCTGCCTTTGGCCCAGGGCGCGATCCTAGAGACCCGGGATCGAATCCCACATTGGGCTCCCGGTGCATGGAGCCTGCTTCTCCCTCTGCCTGTGTCTCTGCCTCTCTCTCTCACTGTGTGCCTATCATAAATAAAGAAATAAAAAAAAAAAGAGAGAAAGAAATAGAGACAGACAGAAACGGGGGAGTGGTTCATGCACAGGGTGGCTCCAGTGCAGGATGGGTGGTGCCTGGGAGTTCTGGCCTTCTGCTCATGGGAGATGGAAGGTCAGTGAAGTGCCCTATTTTCCCCTCCCCCTCTGGCTTTAGGCCCAGTACCCCACCCCCCAAACCTGTGGCCTTCGAGGACTTTAAGAACGAGCGGGGCAGTGAGATCAACCGCATCTTCAAAGAGAACAAATCCATCTTGAATGAGCGGAGGAAGAGGGCCAGCGAGACCACACAACGCATCAATGCCATCAAGCGGGAGATGGACATGACCAAGGAGGCACTAAATTTTCAGAAGTCACTCCGTGAGAAGCAAGGTGAATGCATTGGGAAGGCAGCCTGGGGCTGTGCCAGCTGAGTCACCTTGCTCTAAAGGGGGCAGTCTTGGGCCTTGGAATACTGAGATGGAAGAGGCTGGCAGGGTGTGGTCTTTACACCTGGGTCATCACGTGGCTCTAGTCAGCCCTGGGGAGCCACAGGGTCCTTCCCTGTAAGTCAGCCTTTGGCTGTGGATCCCCCATTATTTTGTTATCTCAGACCTAGCTGCTGGAGGAGGGAAAGAGAATATGGGTACCAGAGGGCCTCAGTAATCATTGTCACTGAGACCGTTCCTTATGCCAAACCCTCAACAACTGCTGGCCTGGCAAAGTCTTGTCTTCTAAGGCAGGTGGTGTGAGGGCCCTCAGGCTCAGAAAGTGGGGACCTCAGTGTGGGGAAGGTACTTATCTGGTTACCCTGATCTGGTGTCCTTGTCCCAGTAGCAGACAGTGCTCACACCTGCCCTGTGGGCTAAGGACCCTCAAGCTTGAGTATGCAGAGGAATCATCTGGGAGGGCTGGCCAAACACAGATTCCAGGCCCTGACTACTGGCTCTAACTCAGGAGATTGGGAGCAAGGCCCAGAACCTGCATTTTAATGAGTAACTATCCCAACTCTGAGGCCACAGGTTCAGAGGCCACAATCTTGTTCACATTCCTGGTCCCACTGTCCTCCAGACTGGACACTGGAGGTTACTAGGCTTTCCCCTGCTAAATCACAGCCCTGTTCAGGCAGGCTTTCCAGACAGCGATCCGTTGGGGAATCTCTGGATGTCATTTGTTTTATTTCTGCAGGCCAGGTGGATATGTCAGAGATGTGCACTTTATTCATTTACTTCTCATAGGGCAACTCCAAATTCTTGAGGCCACTCTCTTCATACCCTACAGACCCACTGTGACTCACTATTCGGACGGCTAAGCCTCCAGGGTGTCGGCATGGAGGAGGGCTGATGATGGTAGCTCCAAACATGCCCCCACCCAGAACCTCCAGGGTGAAGATCTTATAGGACCAAGGATTTCTTTGTCTCTCCTACCCATACCTTCTTTGAATATGCAACTTACTACATATCTGTATGTCTTTTTTAAAAAGATTTATTTATTTATTTATCAGAGAGAGAGAGAGAGAGAGAGAGAGAGAGAGAGAGAGAGAGGGGCAGAGACACAGGTAGAGGGAGAAGCAGGCTCCATGCCGGGAGCCCAATGTGGGACTCGATCCCCGGTCTCCAGGATTGCGCCCTGGGCCAAAGGCAGGTGCTAAACCGCTGAGCCACCCAGGGATCCCCTACATATCTGTATGTCTTAAGCAATATATATTTATACTATGCTAACATATCAGTTATGCCAAAATATACCTGAAAATGGGTATTTTAAAGGATGAGGTGAAGATTAAATACTGTTTTTAAAATAACTAACATTTGGGACGCCTAGGTGGCTCAGCAGTTGCACGCCTGCCTTCGGTCCAGAGTGTGATCCTGGAGTCCTGGGATCGAATTCCACATCCGGCTCTCTGCATGGAGCCTGCTTCTCTCTCTGCCTGTGTCTCTGCCTCTGTGTGTGTGTGTCTCTCATGAATAAATAAATAAAATCTTTTTTAAAAAATTAAAAAATAAAAAATAAAAGAGTTAACATTTGGGGATGCCTGGCTGGCTCAGTTGGAAAAGCATAATTCTTGATCTCAGGGCTATGAGTTCAAGCCCCATGTTCAGTGTAGAAATTACTCAAATAAAAACGTAAAGTAAAATATATAAAATTTTATCTCTCAATATAAAAAACATTTAAAAATATTTTGTTTGAGGGAGAGAGCATGCACAGAAAGAAGCACGGAGCAGGGACCTGATGCTGGATTAGATCCCAGGACCCTGGGATTATGACCGGAGCCGAAGGCAGATGTTTAACTCACTGAGCCACTCAGGTGCCCTAAAACATTTTTTTGCTCAGGGCACCCAGGTGGCTCAGTGGTTAAGCATCTGCCTTTGATTCAGAGCGTGATCCCGGGGTCCTGGGATTGAGTCCCACATCAGGCTCCCTGTGAGGAGCCTGCTTCTCCCTCTGCCTCTGTCTCTGCCTCTCTCTGTGTCTCTCATGAATGGTAGATAAAAATCTTTAAAATTTTTTTTTTCTTTTTGCTCTTTCCCTTTAAAATCAGTTGTTTTCCAATTGGTTGTTAAAATACCAAATAAAATACTTCTTTCTTGAGGAAATAGATCAAGTAAATTCATTTTTTGGTTCATTTTAATTGATAGCCACTTACCAGCCCAGTAAAGTCAGCAAATTTAGCATGTTAATTAGTGTTTTGTGAAAGAAAAATGAAAAATAATTTTAGGTTAAACTGTTTGAAGTTTTTTCCTTGGCAATAATCAAAGAAACTGCCCCCCCCCACACCCCACCAGGTAGGATACAAGGTATTCACAGTCCCTTCCCGTGTCAACAGAATACTGGAAAGACTACCCTGTGAAGGACTTGTGTCTGTCACAGTGATCACAGTGGAGATTGCCCATAGCACACAGACCAGCTCACACAGCACTGAAGGAGAGGGACCTGATAAAGGCCACTCCACCGCCCCCCCCCACACACACACACACTCCAGATTTCTTGAATTGGGACCAATTCAAGATTCCTAATTGCCTCTCCATAAATGGTGTCAGTGACAATGCACCTTAATTTCCCCCCAGTAAATGTCAGTGGAAGGGCACCTGGAGACTGCCTCACACACCCCTGCCACACACCTCAGGCACTTGTAGGACTCACTCTCTAGGGTTCCTGGGGGTGGAAGCCCCACACCTCTGGTTGGGTTGACATGATACCTATGCTTAGCTTTTAAGGTGCTATGGACAGTGGCCGGCTGAGTAAATGGCTCCACAGACCATGTTATTTTGTCTTAATCCAGCAACCCTCAACTGACAGACCTTAAAAGCTCATGCAGAGACTGTAAGTGACATGAGAAATAGCACAACTGCCCCCTGTCCTCCTGGAGCCTCTGACATCCTCTTGACATGACACAGATTTACACACACTGTTCTGAATAAGGAACTTTGCCCAAGTACCTTGTGGTACTAGCCAGTGGTGGCAGTCCGTGTATATAACTTACAAAAAAGGTAAACATCCGTCTAACTGAGGTGACTGCTGAACTATCTCTGGCTAGTGAGGTTTAAGATCAAAATAAGTGTGAAGGGGGATCCCTGGGTGGCTCAGCAGTTTAGCGCCTGCCTTCGGTCCAGGACATGATCCTGGGGTCCTGGGATTGAGTCCCACATCGGGAGCCTGCTTCTCCCTCTGTGTGTGTCTCTGCCTCTCTCTCTCTCTCTGTGCCTCTCATGAATAAATAAAATCTTTAAAAAACAAAACAAAATAAGTGTGAAGTATGTGCCATCTCTACCCTCTCCCCTGACACCCTCCCTCCCCCCAGTCCTGTTCGTAAGGTGGCCAGCATGGTCCCTCTGAGCTGAACTCCCTCTTGTGGTGAGACGTGTTCTGGTGGCTTGGCCTCCTTGTGTCTTGCCCACCCCTGCCCCACACCCCTGCCCTTCCTCTATTCCCCCGTCTTCGAGCTTTGCCAGCACTTTGTTCCCTCTTTCCAGAATGCCTTCCTCCCAGCACCCCCAGTGAGCACCTCATTCTCTGACCTCCTCTGTCCCTGCAGGCAAGTACGAGAACAAGGGGCTGATGATCATCGATGAGGAGGAATTCCTGCTGATCCTGAAGCTCAAAGACCTCAAGAAGCAGTACCGTACTGAGTATCAAGACCTGCGTGACCTCAAGGCTGAGATCCAGTACTGCCAGCACCTGGTGGATCAGTGTCGTCACCGTCTGCTCATGGGTGTGCCATTCGGGAAAGTTGGCTGGCCCCCTGAGGTCCTGAGAGGCAGAGGGCAAGGCTGCCATCTGGGTTCTAAAAATGGCTTCAGAGCTTCTCTCTGACAGAGGCTGGGTCTGGACTGGGGCTTCAGGGGTGTTTCCAGGACTCTCAGAGCAGAAGAGGGAGACAGGAAAGGGTGAGACCCCAGAGCAGGAAGTGACCAGAGGGTAAGCCTGTGCCAGGCCCACTCAGGCTTTACCTGCTTCCCCCTGGACTCCCCAACAACACTTCACAGTGCTGTCTTCCTGCCTCCCTGCAGAATTTGATATCTGGTACAATGAGTCCTTCTTCATCCCCGAGGATATACAAGTGTCACTGAAACCAGGTAGTAGCATCCGACCGGGCATGGTGCCTATCAGCAGGATCGTGTCTCTGGTGAGTGGCATGAGGGCAGGAGTGGGGACAGCGGATGAACACAAGGTGGTGGGCAGTACCTCTTGTTCTCTATCTTCTCCACAAACATGGCAGTGTATAGGCTGCTCCCAGCCTCTCCCACGGTTGGCTGAGGCAAATGGACAGGTACAGGTCTCTTCCCTGTTATGGAGGATGGGGACACAGAAAACATCACTTGCTGCTGCCACCTTTTTGGGGTGGCTCATCCTGCCCAGGTGGCAGCTACAGGGTGTCTGGCAAATACAGGGCCGGGGGTTCTGAACTACCCTGCGTGGGGTTTGCAAACCCTGCGAGGGGCTGCCCTGATGCCCCCCACAGGCCTTGTCAGGGTAGACCTAACAATGCCAGACTGAAGGGACTGTGCTGAGTTGAACCTCCCCTAGGGAGAAGATGACCAAGACAAGTTCAGCCAGCTGCAACAGACGGAGCTGCCTGAGGGCCCTGACTCTATCTCCTTCTACAATGCCAAAGTCAAGACAGAACAGAAGGTAGCTTGGGAGGGGGGCAGTGGTGGGCGGGTTTAGGTCTCCAGGAAAGGGGGGCTTCAGGGACCACATTATTAGGACACCCAAGATCACACTTCCCATTTTGGACAAGCCAAGAAGGAACATGTGAGCCAAGGGAAACACAGAGGCACCCAGAGTCAGTGGGTATCTTCTGTAAACTCTAGAGTCCTGGATTCGGTGAAACCCAGCAGGGGTCCCACAGGCCATGGCCAGGCCTGGAGACGGTTATTGGGAGCTAAGCTGGCCCATGTGTGGTTCACAGCCCAGGGTGGGGTCTGGGAATCTTCTGAGACCACTACCTGTTGGGGACAACCTCTCCAATGGGGGCCACCATGACCAAGAGGCAGGGGACAGAGGACCACTGCAAGTAGTACAATGCAGTTGAGGCAAAGCTAGACAGGGTATTGGCCGTGGGCTGGGCCTGTACTCTCTTCCCTGGGTGGGTTGGGCTGGAGCAGAGGGGCTCACTCTGCTGAGGCTCAATCTGGAGCCAAGACACACAGGGCCTGTGGTGTGAACCTCTCTGTACCCATAGGCTATTCTTCTTCTTCTTCTTCTTCTTCTTCTTCTTCTTCTTCTTTTCTTCTTCTTTTTTAAGATTTTATTTATTTATTCATGACAGAGAAAGAGAGAGAGAGAGGCAGAGAGGCAGAGACACAGGCAGAGGGAGAAGCTGGCTCCATGCAGGGAGCCCGACGTGGGACTCGATCCCAGGCTTCCAGGATCACACCCCAGGCTGAAAGCGGTGCTAAACTGCTGGGCCACCAGGGCTGCCCTTTTCTTTTCTTTTTTCTTTTCTTTCTTTTCTTTTCTTTTTCTTTTCTTTTTTCTTTCTTTCTTTCAAGATTTTATTTATTAGAGAGAGAGAGAGAGCATGAGCAAGCACAAGTGGGGATGGGGGTGGGGTGGGAGGGAGAAGGAGAAGCAGACTCCCCACTGAGCAGGGAGCCCAGTGGGACTCAGTCCCAGGACCCTGAGATCATGACCTGAGCTGAAGGCAGACGCTTAACCAACTGAGCCACCCAGGTATACTCCACAGGCTATTCTTATACAGCAGGTAGCAGGTGCACATGGGGAGACTGCCCAAGAGAGCACATCATTTAAAAATATAAATACAAAATATAAATATAAATTACAGATACCCAGGCCCCAACCTCCCTGATGGGGAACCCATTGCGTATTGGCTGTATCTTGCTTTTCCCACTAAACGGTGTATCCTGAAGGTCATTCCATGTCAACCCATAGTTGCTGCTATTTTCTTTTTTGTTATAGCTGTATATCAGCACTCCATTGTGAGGTGTATCAAAATGTGCTTAACCCATCTCATACTGAGAAACATTTGGTCGGTTCCATTTGTTTACAGTACAAATATTGTGATAATTAACCTTGTACAAATGTGAATTCACACATGAATGAATATATGTGAAAGTTAAGTTTTGTAGAAGTGAATTCTTGGTCACCAGGACTAATGGATAGTGTATTTTTAATGGATGGTACTAAATTGCCTGCATAGAGCTGAACCCATCTATACCCCGACAGCCTTACCACAAGATGTATTACCTGCTTTTTGTTTTTTTGGGTTTTTTTTTTTTCCAATCTGAAAGGTGAAAAATGGTTTCTCAGGGGAGCTTTAATTTGCATTTCTCTTAGGATTGAAGTTGAGCTTCTCATATGTTGAAGTGCCATTTTAACTTCTTTTCCTGTAAATTGCCTATTTGTATTTTTGCCTATTTTTCTATTATTTTTTGGTCTTTATTATTAATTTATAGGAAGTCTTGATATACTGGGGAGACTGGCTCTTTATGATATGAGTTGCAGATATTTTTCCCTGTTTGTCATTTGTTTTTTGTATTCACTTCTGGTTTTTGTAGTTATTCTGTTGATTTTTTAAAAAAGATTATATTTGAGAGAGAGAGAGAGAGAGAGCATGCATGAATGAGTGGAGAGGGAGAAGGAGAAGCAGGCTCCCTGCTGAGCAGGGATTTCCAACTGGGACCTAGATCCCAGGACTCTGGGATCACGACCTAGTGGAAGGCAGATGCTTAACTGACTTGAGCCACCCTGGTGCCCCATTTTGATTTTTGTGAAATCAAGTGTAATAGTCTTTTCTCTCTTGGCTTATGGATTGTGTGTCATAATTAGAAAGACCTTCCCCTGACTGAATTCATTCTTCCTTACATGTATAGTTAAGCTGACATCTTTAATGACTTGTTAGATTGCAGATTCAGGTCTAGCAGGTCTAGGGAGCCTGAGATCCTTCATTTCCTATGTATGTGTGTATTTATGTATTTATTTGAGAGAAGGTGTGTGCGTGCATGCCACACTTGCATGAGAGTGGAAGGAGAGGGACAGAAGGAAACGGAGAGAGGAAATCTTAGGCAGGCTCCACACTCACCAGGGAGCCTGACTCAGGGCAAGCCCTGAGGACCCCAAGATCATGACCCGAGTTGAAATCAAGATTCGGATTTTACTTACTGAGCCACTCAGACACCCCAAGATTCTGCATTTTTAATTAGGCTTAGATGATGCTCATGGTGTTCATCCAGGACCACACTTTGAGTAGCAGGCCACAGAGTTCTTTTCCCTTCAGGCTTTTTTCCTTCCAGACATCGACTTAGCTTCCCCGAGGTCTGCTCCTTCCCCTATTTGTTCTACTCACCTCACTTCTCAGTTTTTTGCCCCAGTCTTGGCCCTGGCATGTTCCTATTTTCCAAGACTTCCCAGCCCCAATGCCTATTATCATCTGACTACTTTGTGTCTCTCCAGAGGGAAAGCCTAGTTAACTCTTCTTGGATTAAGTGTACATTCCTGGTCCAATATGTGGTGGCACAAAGCAAGAGCACCTGCCCACCCCAGCTACCTGGCCCTTCAGCAGGAGAGAGGATGGCTTTACCAGGCAGCCATTAGCCTTATGCAGCAAGCATCAAGCTTTATTAAACCTAGTGGCTGGAGGGAGACCCAGATCAGTGGCTAAGGCCCTGCCGGTCTATCTGGAAAGGTTTGCTGGACCCCAATCACTTTGGCTGGAGAAGGCAACCCTGGCCAAGCTGCTCCCATGGACCCTACTGGCTGACTCCAAAGAGCTTGCTCAGAGTTGTATGTGAAAATCCCTCTGTGGGAAGACAGAGCTCTTCCAGAGCATTTGGGAAAGAATGGAGTAGGGGCAAGTAGGCCTAGATAGCCCAGCCTCAGAAATCATTTGACTGTGACTGCCATGTAGGACTTCCTTCTCTGCCTACAAAGAGGCCTGCGCCTGCTGGGCTCAGTGGAGGAAGCACATGGTATAAAGTAGTGGTCCAACTTTATTATTTTGCAGATAGATATCCTGTTTTCCCAGTACTAATTATTGAAAAAAAAAAGATACTTCATTGAATTTTCTTGTTACCCTTATTGAAATTCAATTAGCCATAAATGTGAGGGTTTAATTTTTGGACTCTCAATTCTATTCCATTGATTTTTATGTCTGTCTTTATGCTAGTACTATAATGTCTTGGTTACTGTAGATTTGTAGTTAGTTTTGAAATTACAAAGTACAAATTCCTCATCTTTGTTCTTCTTTTTCAAGATTGTTTTGACTATTCTAGGCTCCTTGTTATATCCATGCAAAAAAGCCACCTGGGACAGGGGTTGTGTTGAATATAGAGATTGCTTTGGGGAACATTGCCATCTTAACAATATTAAGTTTTCGGGACACCTGGGTGGCTCAGTGGTTGAGCGTCTGCCTTTGATTCAGGGTGTGATCCTGGAGTCCTGGGATCAAGTCCCACATTGGGCTCCCTGCGAAGAGCCTGCTTCTCCCTCTGCCTGTGTCTTTGCCTCTCTCTGTGTGTCTCTCCTGAGTAAATAAATAAAATCTTTTTTAAAAGCCCCACAATTGGGATCCCTGGATGGCTCAGCGGTTTAAGCACCTGCCTTCAGCCTAGGGTGTGATCCTGGAGTCCTGGGATTGAGTCCCACGTCGGGCTCCCTGCATGGAGTCTGCTTCTCCCTCTGCCTGTGTCTCTGCCTCTCTCTCTTCTCTCTCTCTCTCTCTGTGTGTGTCTCTCATGAATAAATGAATAAAATCTTTTTTTAAAAAAAAACCCACAATATTAAGTTTTCAAATCTATGAACATAGGCTCTCTTTCTATTTATTTAGATTATTATTCTAAATAATATTCTATTATTCTATTCATTTCTTTCAGTGGAATTTTGTACTTTTCAGAGTACAAGTTTTGTATTTTTTTTAAGATTTTATTTATTCATGAGAGAGACAGAGGCAGAGGCAGAAGCAGGCCCCCCTCAGGGATCCTGATGTGGGACTCAATCCCAGAACCCCAGGATCACAACCTAAGCCAAAGGCAGATTTTCAACCACTGAGCCATCTAAGTGCCCCTCTCTCTTCCTCTTTTTATAAGGACACTAAACCATCATGAGGACCTCTACCCTTATGATTTCACCTAAATTTAATTACCTCCCCAAATTTCCCACCCCTTAATACCACTACAGTGGGGATTAAGGCTTCAACAACTGTATTTTGAGAGAATATAAACATGCAGTCTATAACAGAAGGCATAAGATGTTGCTTTCTTCCATTATTGATGAAGTTAATTTTGATCAGTTGGTTAAAGTCACCCTGTATGTTGAATAAGAGGATCAAAAAAGGTCTTTGGTATTGGAGAAAGAACTTACAAAATTTTATTCATTATTGTATATTGTTGTAAACCTGTTTTGACTGGCATAAATTATTTCAAGATCATAGAAAAGGTGAACTAAAGTGATTTGCATGGTTGCCATCATGAATCTCTCTCTTGATATTCCAGACAAACCTTGTATTTTCTTTAATTACTTACAAAGTCTCAGATAAACATTTATTTTTTTTTAAATTTTTTTTAAATTTTTATTTATTTATGATAGTCACAGAGGGAGAGAGAGAGAGAGGCGCAGAGACACAGGCAGAGGGAGAAGCAGGCTCCATGCACCGGGAGCCCGAT